GGGGGGGGGGGGGGGGGGGTGAATCGTCGGAAGCTGTTGCAAGAAGCTCTGTACTGCGAGTGTATGCACAGAATGCTTCAGGTGTAGCGCGATCAAGGGGGGAAGGATGTCTCGAGGGAGGTTCTTCCGGGTGAGCTGTGGGGCGGAGCGAAGATGTCGGCTGCACCTGTACCTGTGCGGTTGACCCGTCGTTTGGCGCGGATGATCTTGAACCTCAGACTGAGTGCTAGTGACTGGGCGGATTTGCGGAAGGAGTGTTGGCTCGCAGCCGCAGCGGTGTCCTTGCGGTCGACCGTCGTGGTGGTCACGAGAGTGCGCGGTGAACCGACGTCCTTGTTCGTCAAACGCGTCTCCTTTGGCGAGACGCAGAAGCGGGAATCGGCGGGCTCAGCGACGGGTGACGACACCACTTCGCCTGAGACCAGTCGAGGAAGAGGCGCACGAGCTGCTTTTCTGCGCAAAGACCGGGGCGCCTTCTTGCTGCTGCTGTCTGCGCTCAGACCAGCGGGGAAGTAGCTCGGTGCGGTGGGGTCGGTCCACGTCGCCGCTGCTGCTGTGCCTGGCGTAAGGGGCTCGAGCTGTCGAGTGGCGCCGGCGAGTGGTGTCAGGAAGTCTGCTTCTTCGACGCTCGACCAGCTGCTGGACGGCCTGGCGGACCTGGGCAGCGGCGAAGTATCGGCGTTCGTCAGACGGTAGTTGCCAAAGACCGAGGCTGAGGCGGGCAGGGGCGCCAGGCGTAGAGGACCGAGTGCGCAGTCGGACGAAATGCCAGTGTTGGCTGTGCTGGACCTTCGCTTGGACAGCAGAGAAGAGTGGGTGTGCGAGTCGTGGGAGAAACGAGAGGTGGCGGTCGTGGAACTACACGAAGGCGCGTTGAGTTCTGGACTAGGATAGCTGCGTCCTGTCGCCAGAGATGAGTGCGACGCGTTGCTCTGCCTCGTATCAGCCGAGCTGTTCCTTCGAGACTGGAAATGATTCTGCTCCGGCGGCGAGTATGGTTCGTAAAGAAGTGAGGCGTCGTCCTCTCCGAACGGCGAGCGGCCTTGCTCGGACATGGCGAGCTCTCGCATTCTTCGATCGAGGTCGACGATGCCTGTGAAGCCGTCGCTCCAGTCGTCAAGCTGAGAATTGGATTGGGACGCCTTGCGACTCTTGGAGGAGCTGGATCGACGGCACGAAGAGGCGCTTGAGTCGGTGTGCTCGTGCGAGCTGGAAGCGACGGATCGACTGCGACGGCCAAGACCAGATGCAGAAAGGAGCGAAGGCATGATGATCGAGAGCCACGGAGCAACGATGCCGACGAGAGGAGAGTGGAGCCTGGAGCTGGTAGCAGAGAATCTGGCGAGGCTGGGTCGCTACAGTGCCTTCGAGCTTGGGTGGTGTCGAGCCGGATGGGGTCCTCGAGGCCGGTGAAGGAGGAACAGGGTGTGCCTTGGTCCGCTCGCGTCCAGGACCCTTTTTATCCCTTCGTCGAACAGACGAGCTCAGTTGGAGCAGGCGTAGAGACGTTGCACAAACGCGGTGGCGGCGGCGTTCTATATCCTGCTAAGCAGCTTCGTGGACGGAGCGCTGCAGTCTCGTCTACGTCGGATGCTGCGCCAAACGAGAGAGCCTTGATGCGAAGATCACTGCGGGGTTAAGCGGAAAACCGGCGGAATGTCGAACTTGTTTGTCACCGTTCGATGCCAAGCCAAACCATTCGGCGAACCAAGAAAACGGTTGCTTCTCGGAGCGGCGGCTTCTGGAGGGATTGCGACTTGATTGTCAAATACGCCGTGGCTGGTCGTGCAGATGCATACGTCATGCAGACGATCCGATAGTAGCGCTTGTTCTTGCAGCACGTGTAGCGATGCGACACGATCTGCAGTCTTTTTCGGGAGCAAGCGAGCGGGGATGCGTGACGGTTGCAACGACGACGACGGCGACTTGGAAGATGATGGTCCGAAAACAACGTGGGCCAGCAGCACTCGGATGGAAGGTGTATGTTGTCGCGGGAGCCAGTTTGGTTGTGAGGGCGTTTGAAGCAGGAGGCCGCGACCCGCGACCTGTCGACGTAATTCGGCGAGCTACCTTGGGGCTTGCAGTGGCGGGGCGGCTTCTTGACAGTTGGACAGCGGCGCGCTTAGCCAGCCGAGGGAGCGGAGGGACAGAAGCGAAGCTGTCAAGCCACCTAAAGCTCAGTTCGCTCGGCAGACCGGACCCTGGCGAGGGGAGAGAGGCGAGAGGCAGCAGGGCTGAGCCGAGCGGGTTGCTGTGGAGAATGCAGCTGGGACGCCGAGTCAGCCAAAAGTCGAGGCTGAGAGAGACTGCCACCGACAAACCCGAAGAGAGTCGTAGCTCACAGGCTTGGCTCGCCAGAACCCAGTCAGCACTGAGGCAAATGCGTCAGCTGCTTTGATAATCGAGTCGATGTGACTGGCGCCAGCGAGAGCAGAAGGGGGTTCGGATGCACCGAAGCGTGTGTTCTGCGCGGACCAGTGGCTTGGGTCCGAGTGGCGGCTAGGGACCGAGATGAAGCAGAGAGAGGCGCTTGTGGACAGTCGAAGCTCGAGCTGACCGGCTGCCTGGCCGTCGGCGACGCCGCCAAGAGTTGGTTGCCTCGAAATCCTGCTGAGCCGGGACCTGGCCCGAAAAACCAAACGCCGTCGAGAGCAAAGTGCGCTTCGATTGGACGGTCGGTCGAGCACCCGCTGGCTCATGACTGAGCGGGAAGCCGAGCGAACTAATGCGCAGCAGTCCACGCTGGTCCTCGACACGGTCGCCGTGAAGTACGGAAGCAGAGCTTGAGCTTGCAGATGCGTAGTCGATGCACTCAGCAGACCATGACTCCGCACGAGAGTGAGAGAGCGCTCTTGTCGACCGATGGGAAGAGAAGGGCCGGTCTGATTGTGGTCGTAAGACAAGCCTGACCTGTCTGTTGTGAGTCGCTTTGTCTTCTCAAAGCTGATGTTGAGGCTCAAACAAGAGAGCTGAAGGCTTGCATACACAATTGTTTGCGCAGTGTTTGCGCACTGTTGGACTTCGAGGCTAGCAGCGTCGGAACTGCGGTACGCTTTCGTTAGCCCCTTCTCACATTCACGATCCAAAAAGGCGTGCATGACAGGCGGCAAAAAGTGTGGAGGAGGTGGGGAGCGCCAAAGTCAAGGGTGCAGGTCAGCTGCTCTTTCAAGCTATGACACACCGAACAGACTGTCCTTGCTTGAGAGAGCGACCTCGCGATCCGTCCAAGCTGATCAAATCGACTTGCCCCGCCCACCCGCATCAGTTGTGATAAGCAATCGAGGTCTGAGCTTAACAGCACCACGCGTGAAGCCTCGACAGCTCGCTGCAGTCCATTGCCGCATGGTCTTTGTTTGTTCAGCACCCCAACCCAATCACAATGGGCGAGCATCGCATTCACGTTCTGCTTGTAGCACGCTCAAGCTGAGCTACAGAAGCTTTGCTGAGCACCTGATATGCCGACAAGGCAGGCTCTGGTCGATGGCCGATTCAGCGGCAACAGCGGCAAAGACGGCAGAGGGCCGAACCCAGCTGACTGGTGCTGATCTGCTGTCGAGTTTTGGCGCTGGCACAAAGGGCTATGCTGCGATCATGAATGCAGCAAGGTCGATCTGTTGCAAGGGTCAAAGCGCCTCGTGGCGGGTGAATGTGATAATGCGTCATCTCGACGACCGTAGCCGCTCCAACTCCGCCTTTTCGAGCATGGCAAAGAGAGCGTCCTGAGCTAAAAAGGGATTCTCGCGATCTGAGCTGGGACCGAAGCGAGCCGAGATCGGACGATGAGGCATCGGATGATCCTTCTTGGCGCGTTCGGTCCGGGCTTCCGCTTGCTGACTACGGCCTTGCTGTTTTCGGCAGCCGCAGATCGGGTCAGCTTTTTCCCATGGAACGCCACTTCACTAATGCAAAGCCATGCATCCGCGGCGCGGCGGCCCATTCCCAGCACTGCTTAGACCGAGTCGATACCGACACGGGTCTGCATGAGCCGGCTCGACAGCCGCACAAAGTGGCGTGCATCGGCATACGGGTGAACTCGTTCGACGCCACAAAAGCGGCTCTCCCAGCGCAGGGCCAAGGAAGCCAAGACGGGGCAGGCGCCGCTCCGTGTGGCTCTCACGCTCCAACCCTTGTCGGCTAAAATCCGAAAAATATCACCGACGACGCGTCGCCCCATCGCAGCGGCTCGCTTAAGCCGTGACTCAACCCATCGTTCAATTTCCCGAAGGAACTTCTGAGACACGCTTCGTAGCAGGTGAAAGCTGTCTGGAAGAGAGCAGGTGACTGGGTATATTGAATGGACGATAGTGATACAGATGAAGCAGACTAATGTTACAGATGACAGATTGCAAATGCATGCGAAAGAGACGAAAGATCAAGCAGGTTGGGAGAGGCTTCGTTCGTTGAGCAGGGCGCTGCGGCTGCTGCTCGACATTTGGCCGGGAAGAGTGTGAAGGCCAGCGCCATTCGAGGCTTGGCTGCCCTCAGCGACGGTCCAGTGACGACGACGGTGGTAGCTGGGCCCCTGCAGGTGCGTGAGAGTGGGCGAGGAAGGAGCGCTCGAGCGAGGGGAGACCTCGGTCTGGTGAACCGACGGCAAAGGTTGCGGCGTTGGACTGGAGCGTCGCGAAGTGGAGAGCTGGTAGGCAGAAGGAGTGCTGCCATACCTGGAGTCGTCCTCGTCTTCTTCGTCGTCACTGCTGTCGTCGCTGTCGAGGATGGCTTCCTCGTCGCGAAGAATAGAGCCTTCCACCTGAAGACCACGAGTGGACGAAGAGGCGCGAGAACCGCCAGCACGGCCCATAGAGCCCGCTTGAGCGTAGCTTGAGAGACCTGAGAAGGCGTTGACAGCGAGACCGAACGAAGGAGCGTGCTGTCCGCCAGCCTCGCTACCCCGGGAGGAAGGTCGCGAAGAGGGTCGCGAAGAACCGGTGCGAGACGAAAGAGTGCTTCGTCGACTTGTGAGGTGCGGTGAAGCGGCACGACCAATGTGAAGCTGGTTGTCCGGGTATGTGGACTCGCCGGACATCATCTCCCAATTGTGACGCACAAAGTTGGGATCGTGGAGCTCCTTGTCGCCACGCAGAAGTACGGGGCTGTTGGCGGGGAAGTCCTCGTGATCGTGTGAGTGATGGTGACCAAATGTGTCGACGCTGGAGGAGCGCGACGAGTTGTACGAAGCTTTCAAGTCGTCGTTGGAGAGACGGTGTTGGGAGAGCTTGGGGGAGGTCAAGGCGCCATCGCAAGTAACGGTCGAAGACGCTTGAATCCTTGTTCGATCGCTCTTGCGCCTAAGCAATCGCCCCTTGGCGCGGAGAGCGCCTAAAGGGTTCTGGTCGAGCTTCATGCCGGCGAGACTGAAGTCACGCGGCTGTAAGAGATGGAGCAACGTGGTGAAAAGAAGCAGGAGTGGGGGAATCTTGAAGACTTGCTGAGCTAGGCGCGACCTATTGTCTGCGCGCTGTCTACTGAGAAGAAGCGGGGTAAGAAGGATGGGCGCGTATGGTGCGAGGGGGGACGAAGATTGATGTGGGGGCGTATGATAGAAGGGAAGGAGACGGTCCAATATATGTATATGCAAGAAGGATCCTACGGCCACATGGAACAAAGAAGGTGGTGACTGAGCCAAAGCAGAAGCAAGCATTGATCCTTTTGCATGAGCGCATGAGCGGAACCTCAAACAGAGTCATCAGGCACGAGTCAGAGAGACATACGGGAGGCGGAAGGGAGGACCCCCGACCGGAGTTAGACAAGCGGTGTCTTCGGCGCTTGCTCGGGACAGATTGCCGCGAAGGCATTGTTGTACCGCTCGCCTCTCTGAGCTCAGCCAATGAATCTCTGAGCCGACGATCGACTGGACCCTGCTGCCGAGTTTGTCACGCCTAATGACGGCTCATCTTAATTGTTCTTCTTTATCAAAGGCTCGCTGACGCGACACGCCGCCGGTGACGCAGCAGTCGAGTCCAAGTGAAAAATTGGAAAACAATTTATTTTAACCGTCTTGTTCTGCCGCCAAGTCCCTCCACTGACACAGCCAAGAAGAGAGCCAAGACTCGCAGGAAATAGGCAGAACTTTTTCCTCTTAGTTTCTTGTGAGCCAGTTCAGGCAGATCAACAGTTCCAGGTTCTACCGCGGTCGACTATCGCCCTTACCCACCTGCAGACGAAAGCGAATCCATTGCAGCGGCAGTGCAGACAGTGCACACAGTGTCGAACAGACTTGCCGCGGCTATGCGATGCAGTCTGCCGGTGACAGGCTCAGATTGCTCATGCGGAAAGGCAAAGAGAAGGCCCTGTCCCGACAATTTCGCCTCATGGGCGAGCGCTCTTTGAAAATATTTGTTCTTCGCTCTCTATCTTTGAATCAGGCACCGGGTTCGATTCTTGACCCCGCAACTCTCACGCGCTGCCGCTGTCTTGTTCGCATTACTGGCTGCACTTTGTTCGACCTACTCTTCTTGATCACTGAGACCAATCTCGGCAGGGCGGGCCGGACCGGTGATGCTGGCAAGCGCCGTTAGCTATTGATACCATGACTCACAGCGATCAATCGACTCTTTGTTCAGGCCATCGCCATGATCGTCGTGGTCATCGTGCGCGTCGTGGTCATTGTCTGAACAAAGACGTGGCCTCATCGGCTGCACAAGTCGGTCGCGCTTCGGACGAGGGTCGGGATGCAGGGCCCAACTTGAATGCGGCTCAGTGCAGCGAGCATTTGGGTGACGCTGAAGGATGGAGTGCAAAGTTTTTTCTCGGTCGTCGGAACAACAAATGTCGCGCGACGGAAGCGCTCGACAAAGTCGAGTGGCATGTCACGCAGCTTTACGCTTTGCCGAGTTGCGGGTGTACCGACACCGAGACCCTACTTCTTTGCTGGCATATCTGTCGAATTCGACCTGAAAGAGTTCAGCCGTCACATCAACGAGACGAGACCGCTCTTCCAAGACAAGCGACGTCTGCGCTGCGATTTGGCGACCTGGCGAGCTTCCACATGCGATCGTTGTCGACGTCGGTGCTTTCCTGCGTCGGTCGCGATCATTGTTGAAATATGCCGACACACTCGAATCGTCAGATCAAGCATTGTTGTTCCAGACCACCGGTCATGCGACAGCGGTACTCGAACTGAGTGGACGGCGTCACACGAGCAAGGCGGCTAGTTGACCGGCAAGCTCGAGTCTCGTTCCTGAAAAGGTCAATCTACTCAAGATGAGACACTCTCGGAGCGCCTGATCCAGCCAAGGAGGCAGGTGTCGGTCTAGATCTTGCCGCTCCTGCCCTGCATCCAGTCAAGCGGCGCTTGAATTTAGAGTTCGACCCGAGAATTTGCAGCGCCGACGCTTCGGGATATTCAGCATATGTTAGGCCAATGAGCCGAACATCTGACCATTTTTGCACTGCCTTCGGCTTGTTGGATCTGTGGAATGGCATTGCAAGCCGGGAGATCGGTCCGATGCGACCAAGTAGCAACTCGCGACCTTAATCAGATCTCTTATGCACGTCCACTGAACTGCGACTCAAGACACAGCCGAAACTTTTTGGCTCGGCCCGGCGCAGGGCTCAGTCAGTCGAGTTGTCGCGATACCTTTGCTCCACGCTCGTCAAGGGACGGCGCATTCACCTCTGCCTCTTGGCCTCTTTCCATCATGTCGACGCCAGATCCACTTCTCGACGAGCCTAGGGCGTCGGGCTCAGCATCTCCTAGCATGGGCGCAAAGGTCACCGCGACATTTCAGATCGGTGGCATGACCTGCGGGGCGTGCGTCGAGACCATCGAGAGGATGATTCGCTTACAGCCAGGCATCGACTCCATCTCGGTCGCTCTGCTCGCCGAGAAGGCCACCGTCACCTTTGACGACTCCAAATGGACACCAGCCAAGATCGCTGAAGAGATCGAGGATACTGGCTTCGACGCAACTTTCCTCGACATCATCCGCACCGAGCGACCCGAATCCAGCCTTGGATTCAAACAAGTCTCGTCTGTTCCAGCAGCATCAATACCGCGGCAAGACACCGCTCAACTCAATGTGTACGGCATGACGTGCGCATCGTGCTCCTCCACCATCGAGCGCGAGATCGCCAAGATCGATGGTGTCAAGTCAATATCCGTATCGCTCTCAACAGAAAAGGCCAGGATAGACTACGATGCAAGCAAGCTCGGCATCCGCGACCTGGTCGAACACGTAGAGGACCTCGGCTTTGACGCAGTCGTGAGCGACGAGCGCAACTCGACACAGCTCGCCTCGCTCGGTAGAATCAAAGAAATTGCAGAATGGCGCTCCGCTTTCCTCTTCTCCTTGTCCATGGGCCTGCCCGTCTTCTTCCTGTCCATGATTCTGCCCAAATTCTCCTTCACTCGCAGCATCCTCTGGTGGCAGCCAATACCGGGACTCTATCTCCAAGATCTTGCCTGCTTGGCTTTGACGATCCCCGTGCAATTCGGCATCGGTCTGCGCTTCTATCGCACTTCCTGGAAAGCGATCAAGCACGGCAGCGCTACCATGGACGTCCTCATCGTCATCGGCACCACCGCTTCGTGGGTCTTCAGTGTCTTTTCCATGATCGCAAGGCTATTCTGCGTGGATGAGCCCGCAGACGCGATGTCTCAAGCCGCGTCAATAGCAGCACGGGGAATGGCCATGATGGGAACCATCGTGCCAGGCCAATGCACCAAGCCAGCCACCTTCTTCGACACGACCACCATGCTCTTCACCTTCGTCTCCTTCGGCCGCTTTCTCGAGAACACCGCAAAGGGCAAGACCAGTGAAGCACTCTCACGCCTCATAAGCCTCACACCCACCTCGGCTACTATCTACACTGACGGCGCCGAGGGCAAGATCGAGAAGAAGGTCGCTTCCGAGCTGGTTCAACGCGGAGACTACGTCAAAGTCGTGCCAGGGGAGAGGATCGTCGCCGACGGTGTGATCATTCGCGGCGAATCGACAGTCGACGAATCCATGGTCACCGGCGAGGCTGTTCCGATCCACAAGATTGTCGGCAGCAGCGTCATTGGAGGCACCGTCAACGGGACAGGGAGCTTCGACTTCTTTGTTGAGCGTGCTGGCAAAGACACGAGTCTCGCGCAGATTGTGAAGCTCGTCGACGAGGCGCAGACGTCGAAAGCACCCATTCAAGCCTTTGCCGACCGAGTCGCGGGCTACTTTGTTCCCACCGTGGTGGGCCTTGGAGCGCTGACGTTCATCGCCTGGATGGTCATCGCGCATCTGCTCTCGGGCCACATGCTGCCGTCCATCTTCAACCAACAAGGCGTCACCAAATTCATGGTTTGCCTGAAGCTCTGCATCAGCGTCATTGTTGTTGCGTGCCCATGCGCGCTGGGCCTCTCGACGCCCACAGCAGTGATGGTCGGCACTGGAGTAGGCGCGCAGAACGGCATCCTGATCAAAGGCGGTGGTCCTCTCGAAGCCTCAACCACAATCCGCCGCATGTTGTTCGACAAGACGGGTACGCTTACTGTCGGCAAGCTTACTCTGCGCGAGGTCATTTGGTCGAACAAGGAGCAGAACGGTCTTGACGCCATCGCTGTGGGAGGTCTGTCACGTCGGCAGGTGATTCGCATGATCGGCGCGGCTGAAGCACGCTCAGAGCACCCGCTTGCACGCGCCATCGCTTCATGGGCCGCAAGTCAGCTCAAGTCGAGCTCAGGCGTCGCCATCCAATCGCAGCAGCCTGCCGGCCTCGAGAAGGACGTCTTCACCATCGACGGCGCCAGCATCGAGGAGTTTCAGAGCTTGACGGGCAAAGGCATCGTCTGTCGCGTTCAGCTGGAGGAGACCATGACCGTGCACGAGATTAAGATTGGCACTCCTGATTTCGTCTCGTCTGGCGAGAAGCAGGCACTCGACGACAGCGCTTTTGCCTCTCAGACTCCCGAGCTGCTTATTGAGCAGCAGTCGAAGGGACGTACCGCCGTGCTCGCAACCGTCGATGGCTCCCTCGCGGCCCTTCTCAGCCTGAGTGATGCACTGAAGCCCGAAGCGAAGCAGACACTCGCAGCGCTGCGTCGCATGGGTATACAATGCGGCATGATCACAGGAGACGCTTCCACGACAGCTCGTGCCCTGGCTCGCGAGCTGGGCATGGACGAGGAGATCGATGTTTACGCCGAGATGAGCCCGATCGACAAGCAAGAGCTCATCCTCCAGCTGCGACGAGAATCCGACCTGGTCGACCTCGAGCGTGGCGGTCGCTTCTCACCCTTCCGCGCCAATGGCCAATCCAAGTCAGCCGGCATCGCCATGGTCGGCGATGGCATCAACGACTCTCCTGCCCTCGCCTCGGCCGACCTCGGCATCGCGCTCGGCACGGGCTCTGACGTGGCCATCGAGGCGGCCTCGATCGTGCTGATGCGCTCCAACCTGCTCGACGTGGCGGCATCCATCCATCTTTCGCGCCGCATCTTCCGCCAGATCAAGCTCAATTACATCTGGGCGACCGTTTACAACCTGATTGGCATCCCGCTCGCCATGGGCATCTTCCTGCCATGGGGGCTGAGCCTGCATCCGATGATGGCGGGCGCAGCGATGGCATTCTCCAGCGTCAGTGTGGTGGCGAGCTCCTTGACGCTGAAGTGGTACAAGCGGCCGAAGGAGCTGCAGTCGGAGGCGAGGGAGGATCCGGCGGATGAGGTACAGCTGCAGCAGATGCTGGATCGATCCGATGCAGGGGCGCTGGATAGGGTCGTGGCGAATCTGAGGGATCTTTGGTATCAGATCTTGGGCAAGGTCGAGTCAGCGCTCTCTCATCCTAGCCTCAGGCTGGGCCGCGGCCGCAGTGGAGGAAATGGGCGTGGACCAGGGCAGTCGCAAGGGTACCAGCAGGTCGCTTCTGAAGACCCTTAGGAGGTTACTCAAACTCATGAGAGCAATTGGTTCTCGGCTTCGTCGCAATGCATTCATGTCACACTTCCTGCCGACTGAGATCGCGATCAGGTAGAATTACGACGCGTACAGTACAGAGCCCTCCTTTCGCTGACCCTCCTCACATCCCCGGCCCTTGCACGACGAGCCAAGCAGGCACTTGCCTGATTTCGCCGTTGTCATCATCGAACTCGAGCAGATACTTTGCCTCCAGCAGCTCGGCCTCCTTCTTGATCAACTTTGCCAGGTTCGCATTCCTTGTCAATCCAGGCCCACCAGATTTGACCGTGGCGCCGTAGAAGCAGCTCGTGTCGGGATACATGCCGAGCACGCGCGATCCGGCCGAGTAGTCGGACGCGGGCATGGTCTGCAGGCTGATCGGGAGCGGGATGATGTTCTCCATGCCGACCTTGTAGGTTCCTTCGGGCCCTGGCTCGTCGTCGTCCTGCACGGTGTATTCGTTGGTCGATTTGGCGAACGAGAGGACGGAGGCTTTGAGCCAGTCTGCCTCCTCGGTTTTGCTCGGTAGCACGGCGACCCTGCGGCCGTGGCTGAGCGGGTGTTGTGCGGTGAGCGTCTCCCTCCTTCCCCTATTTGCACCGGTCGCCCCCGCGCCGGAGCCCAAGCTCGACGGTCCGGGTGGGCCCCGCCGCCCAGCCGGCGTAGGCGCCTTACCCTTCGACCCCAGCTCCTTCCGTGGCGTTGAGCTGCGCGAACCCCCACCCCCATCCGCCGAGCTCCGAAGCGCAACCAGAATCCCCAGCTTCTCCTGCGCCGAGTCGATCGCCGCCAATTCGTCCTTTGTTCGGCTCGTAAGGTCGTGACATACATCATCGAGTTTACGTCGTTTGGTGCGGTATTCGTCGGATCGATCGCCCTTTTCGAGCAGAGCGGAGACGTCGACGCGCAAGGTTTCGAAGGTGGAAGCTTTGTCGACTGAAGCGATGCGGATCTTTTCGAGCGTGCGAAGGTTCTGACGGACTGCGTACCAGAGCTGAAGCTCTTCAGAGCCCGTCGCCGAGACGCGATCCTTTCCGCGCCTCAAGGCCATCTTGAGATGCTGTGGCTGTGGGCAGAGTGCAAGCTCGCCAATGTCAAATGAAGGTGACGTCGCCGCTCTCGCCGAACGCGATGTTGGATATGATGGAGGTGTCAAGCCGCGTTGTGTTGTTTAGACCTGCCTCGGCTTTCTCCAGAAGCGGCTGCCCGATCTGCAACAGGGTCCAGATCGGGCTACAAACCTAAAACGCCGTTCAACCTCGCTTGCTTTGGCGTGTGACTTCTTAGAAGTGAAGGCCGCTTGGACCCTGGATCGACTGCAGTCCGTGCTCAGCCCCTGATCATGCTCAGCTTCCAACTCCCATCATCTGCGCTATCATCATCGCCGTCCCGAGGACCACCACTGAGCTCATTCGAAGGTCAAATTCTCGCTCCTGCGATCGACAGAGTACATGTTCTGTCGTGCTTGCTTCGGCCCATACGCTGAGGGCGCTTGGCGGTCAAGCTAGTCGGCAAGATGTCTTTACGGCCCGATGCAGTCTACCGAGTCGACCTTCGGGCGCCAGACCTGGAACCGGAGCAAACCGGCTCACCGCCAAAGGTTGTTCAGATCCGTCTCACAGAGCAAGCACTCCAGCGGCTGGCCAATGCATACTCGAGCTCGTCGAGCATTCGCATCGATGTTGACCCCACGGATCCCGTCCTTGTCATCGGTGACACTCAATTCCCTCTCCATGCTCCTGTGCCAGCAAACAGTGGTCCGTCTGGCAAAGTTGCCGCCAATGTAGTCGCAGCAGGCACCTCGACAGCTCCTCATGAGCTGTACAAGCTCTCAGCAGACGAGTCAACTCTACACCGCATCGGCACCATCAGCACCAAGCTCTCGGTCAAACCCACTCGCGATGTCTCGGCAGTGGCACAGCGTCTCAAGCAGCAGAAGGAGGAAGAGGAACATCGCAAAGAGGAACGTCGCAGAGCGCTGATGCAAGGTGCGTCGCCCAACCTGGCTTCATCCTCATCAGCTAAGCCTGGCATCAACAAGACGCTCGCGAACTCTAGAAGCCTCGGCGGCTCTCCAGCTCTCGGTTCCTCCAGTCTAAATAGATCTAGCAGCTTGAACAAGCTCTCGAGTCGGAGAGAGCCCGATCTCTTACACTCTTCCTTGTCACGAGGCATTAGCTGTGACGCATCGCCAGCAGCCCGTGCAAGCTCGTCTGCAGCGCCCCATCCCAAGCCGCAACTCGCTCGTCCCGAGGACAGCGCGGGTACTCGACGGGGGGAGAGAGCTTTCACCGACTCGCCGAAAGTCAACGCAACGACTCCGTCACCGAGCTCGCATCGTCTGCTCGAACCGAACCACGGGGACAGCGCCAGGCCCAGCCGTATTGCGCACAGACGCTTGAACCTAGACATACCCGAAGAGGACGATCAAATGCACTCAGGAGCGCTTCACCCATCACCAGCCTCCGGCACCTCTGACTCTGCTGCAAAGAAGACTACGAAGCTCACCACACGTCAACGTCTGGCTAAAGCCACCAAGGCTGGCAGTCGTCTCCTTGCAGCGTCGGAACGCAATGCGACCCCCGAGAGACGGACAGCGCCTTCCACTACCACCCAAAATCCGCCTCCCTCCACGTCTGAGGCCCCGGCACAACGTGCAGCGGCTGAAAGCAGCAGCAAAGCCGATTTTGCACAGACTGCTCGCTCGCAGCCTCCGCCTCAGATCAATGTCAAAGCCGAACCATCTTCTGCAGCGTCCTCGATCCAGCATGAAACACCTGTCGAAGACGACAAAGCCGAACCACTTCAACGCAAGAGGCGGCGCACCGAGGACATGGCCTCGACCGACTCCGTGCGCGATCGGAACGAAAGGAGATCTCGGACGTTTTCTGGACAGCAAACGTCACATCGAGACGAAATTGTTGTGCAGCGCAAGGAGGGGGGTCGAGACGGAAGCCACGACCGAACGGAGCCGAAGTCGCCTCGTGACACTCGAGCGTCTCGAAGCATCCCTGTGTCAGCTTCGATGCCATCCATGGCATCTGCGACCTCGCGCCTGCCGCCCGTAGAGGAAGGGGTGAGTCGCAACGCTCGAGATGTTCGCTCAGAGGCCTATCGTGACAGGCGACGAGATCGCTCTTACGACGAGCTTCATCACGAGAAGCACGACTCAGACCGAGCACACGACGACGTAAGGAGAGGTCGACCGGGCAGCGAGCACGCCCGCACCTCGCCACGTGGTCCTGCTCCGCGCTCAGGGTCAGCCGAAGTCGAGCGGCCGATTAGAGGCGTGGGACCCGGAGCAACGCACTGGTCCGAACCGTGGCTCAACGTCCGTTCCAAGGCAGATTGGCACCGGCTGGCGCAACGTTTCCGTAAGATGCAAGAGGAATACGCGCTCTCTCGGCAGCGACTAGATGCGGAGAACGAGCGGCTGGAACGGGAGCTCGAGCTGGCGTCTATGGAAGAGCACATACAGTCAAGTACGCAGCCCGCAGGCGTTCCCGCGGGAGGGAGCCTCTTGTTTTCCCCTCACACGACCACTGGCGGAGACGTACAGATGGACAACGTCGAGGTGACCACAGCCATCAACACCGCGATCAACTCGCGAACGCGCTCCAACAGCAGGAGCAAGCCGGTGGAAGACGGGGACGAATCGCCCGAAGAAGGCGAGATGCGGTCGTCGGACGGTGAAGCGGACGACACTGATGCGACACGCGACGCTGCCATCGGGTCGACGAGGAGCGAGTCTCCAGACAACCTTGCCTGGCGAACGAGCTTGGCTAACACGCATCATCAGCCTACGACAGAGGTTGCAGATCGTCCGCTGGGCTTTGCGGAACTGGCGGACCGCGTCAAGCAGCTCGAGGAGCTGCACGGCAGCTTGAGTCGCATGCATCGCGTGCTGGTCGAGTTCAAGGCGAAGTGTGCGCCTGTCGCAGTGTGAGTCGTCGGCCTCGAACAGCTCGATCCACTCTGCGTTTTTTCTTGTTTCTTCTCGCTCACCACATGCAAAGGTTGCGCACTGCAACGTATCCTTGCGTTCAAAGCCCTTGTCCCATTGCGCCGCGTATCATGAACTCGTCTTCTTCATCGGCCCCAATCTCTCTGTCAGTTCTGCTAACTCGTTCTGACCCACACTTCTCAATCCATCAATCACGCCCTGTCGATCCCCCTCGCCCTTTTCGCGCGACATCTTGCACTTGAACCCAACTTTTGTAACCCTCACTTCAAACCCGACAATCGCCCGTTCGAGCAAGTCGATGTACTTCTCCGGTGCATCTTCGACTTTCCACGTCTCGTTTTTGCCCACCTTATCGACGTAGGATTGTTCGTGTGTGTTGCTGAGATCCCGAATCAACCGGGACAAGCCTTCGCGTGGCAAGGGGTGGATGGAACCGTACACCTGGAGTTCGGAGTAGTTCCACGTGGGGACGGTCTTTGCGGTGGACGGTTTGGTTTCGATATACCACTGGGGGGTGATGTACCCATCATCGTTGTGAGGGTCTGTGAAGACGATGAGGACCTCCTCTGATTCGTGCTGCTCGAAGTAGGCGAGGAGGGCTTTGGCTTGTGGGTTGGCGCGGGCTAGATGGCACCGAAGCAGACCAAGATCTTGGTTGGCAGAGCAATTCCACGTGCCCAAGATGCTGTTGGAGGAAAGACTGGCAGAAGAGGTCTCCTGGATGGTCTGAGGTGGGCTGGAGGGTGGCACGAAGTGGAATGGTAGATGCGAAGCTTGAATGGTCGACTGACCAGCGTGCGGAATGGCGGTGGTGAGAAGTCCGAGTGCGTGCGTGCGCAGGAAGCGCTCCACCGCGCTCCAGTCCGAGACGATCACTTCCGGTCGTAGATACATCCCTGCGCTTGTTGTGTGTGAGTGTGTGTTTGTGTGAGGGGTGATTGTGGTGGCGATCAGAATGCGGGGTGGGCACTTCTTATACGACAAGCTGGACCCTGAGTCACCGACATTTAAGGCTCGGTAGGAGATATCGGACTTTTGTCAACGCCACATGTCCGAAAATCTCGTTTCGGTTCTTGACATGAGCGACAAGGCAACCAAGGCAGGATCGGTGGTCCAGACCTCCTGATGGTACCACGGGTCGACCCTCTCGCGTTCCCCGGGTGTATGAACAGATGCGTCGATTCAGAAGAAGTTTCAACTCTGCTTGCCCTCCTTTGCAGACTTGCTGTGTAGAATGAGAAAGCTCTGCTTTGACCAAGTGAGGTCTGAATCGACGCATCTGTTCACCCACCCGGGGAACGCGAGAGGGTCGACCCGTGGTCCCACAGAAGGGGTTCGTCTGGAGAGTATGCAGCCTGCAAGCGCTCAAATGAAGTCGACGACTGTGCTGCAACTCGTGGCGTGGGCACTTTCCGGACCCAGGTGATGACTTCATTCTACCCCGCATTCCACCACAGCTCACGCTTGACAATGCTCGCATCGGCCCACCTTCGTCGCTTTCGTTCCTCCAGTCGCACACAGACAATCGAGAGAGAAGGGCAAGCAGGTCATGAATTCATGTATGGCAAAAATGAGACCTGGGCTAGCTACATGACGTATCGTGGAATGTGAAAAATGTCATGTAGAGGGGGTATATGTGAAGAGTATCTTGGTAGAAAGCGATGAGGAGGAGGACGAGTTGACGAAGCCTCGACCGCTGAGGATGGTCCCTCTCGAGGGGTCTTTACTTGGGAAGAATCGGACCCTTTCCAGTGTTGTTGCTCGTGGTGTGAGCGAGGGTGCTTCCGGTGCTCACCGGCGAGCCGTGTCCAGGCACACTTTGAGCCATCCTTCCCTCGGCTGCAGTGTTGGCATGACCATCAAAGACAGGCTTGTCCATCATGCCCGCGCGAATCTGCTCTCGCTCCTCAAACACCTCCCTCTGCTCCTGGTCGAACTCGGCCCTCGCCTTTGAGTCGTAGTGCGTCGATGATTCAGGGTTGAGCGCGCTCGGGTTCTCTCCGTGTCGCACCAGGTTCCACACTCGAGTGTGGATGGGCTTGAGACCTGTAACTTCGGTATCGCTGTCCTGGTCCAGCACCACCGAGTTGTACTTGAGCAGTTTGAGGAAGGAAAAGTAGACGACGGAGAGGATGCCGCCGCAGATGGGGGCGATCCAGTAGATCCAGTGGTCAGAGTTGAATTGACGGGCGACGACGGCAGGGCCAAACGAACGAGCAGGGTTCATGCCACATCCTGTCCATACAGCGCCGAACAGATGGGCGGCCATGAGCGTGAGTCCGATTCCGACGGGAGCAAGGTAGGTCGCTCGGTGCTTCTCTACTGCGAGCATGAGCACCGAAAAGACGAGGATGGAGGTGAGGAGCATCTCGATGAGGAAACCCTGGGTGATGTTAATTCCGGGCTGCAGCGTCGTTGTCACGGAACTGACCGAGTTGGTGGGCGTAAGTCCCAGCACGAGACCTGCAGCGGCGATACCTCCCAGAATCTGCGAGAAGAACAGCACCACCGCTCGGCGCGTCGTGAGCACACCCACAAGCCAAAGCGCAATGGTAATGGCAGGATTGAAAAGACCACCCGTGATACGGTAGAACATCCAAGCAGAGACCAACAGCGACATGCCGAACGACAAGGCGATGAACATGATGGTCTCGTTACTCAGCGGGGTAGCCGTGTCCGTCTGAGCGGCGGAGACGGAGAGCTGGGCCGTCTTGGCACCACCCTCGGCGAGGAAGAGGAACATGGTCGTGCCAATGAACTCTCCGAGACCGGCCATGAAATGGGGCTGGAAGCCCGAGAAGGAGGGCTTGCCAAAGTGCTTGCGTCGGTGAGGGTTGGTGTCTTGGCCAAACACATCGTGGTGTTTGCGTCCGTGGAAGGGCATCGACATGGAGAGGCGGCGTCGGCGCGAGTGACGTGCCGTGTCGGTGGAGATGCGACCGCCCGTAGCGGGGACGCCTGCGGCGGTCGAAGAGACCGGAACGGCGTTGGCGTCGACCATGGTCATGTTTGGCTGAGCCATCTTTGAAGTATGAGGTGGGGAAGGTGGATGGTTTCGAGGAGATGGAAGATGTTGCGAACGGCTGGCGTATATGTACCTTCTCAATGCCCATCCATCAGAGGAGGGACCCTCCCAAGGGAAAGGACCTCTCAAGCTACGTGGTTCTGCCAAGCGAAGACACCCTTCGTTCGCCTGGGTTCCCGGTCTGGAACCGTGTCAAGAAGGACAATACGTCACGACCAGCTTTACTTCTATCCTGCGCTTCCCGAAAGAGGTACAAAGCCACGCACAGCCAAGCACAGCACGGCGAGAGTGACGATGCTAAAAACGGGCACGAGGAAGACCCTGTCAGAAGCTTGGCGAGGGGAGAACGGGGCATCATCGGCCCAGTCACTAATCCGCTCCCTCCGCCTTTGTGCAATGGTCTTGCAAAGAAAACAGGCTGATTGAGCTGTGCATGACGCGCAGGAGGGCTGAACGGATGAACGGAACGCCAGAAATAGAGCTGCCTCTGCCGTTCATGCTACGTCCAAGCGAATCGAGACGGGGTCCACGAGCATCGTACTGCGTTCGTTGTCGATGCTCTTTTTCTCTGGTCGGCCAACCTCTCTCCGGGTCAACAGGGGCTACGAGAGAGAGCAAGGTCTAGACAACAGGAGGGGCGGAATCAGGCACGACAAGAACGCGAAGACGTACGGGGTTGGACACTGTCTTCCGTGTCGTCATATCCACGTTTCGCAACATCGGGGGAGCGGAGCAACATCACGTGGGTATCAAGGCAGATGGCCTCGCTTGTGAGCTCGGCCAATTCGCCCGTCACAGCCTAGCAACCGTCGACCGGGGTATGGATCTCGATTGCAAAACGAGACTACTTCCCGCTCGCCGATGTCCACAATGACTCTGCTTGGAGCTTTGGACATGATGAAATGCGAGTCTGCCGTAATCATTACTCCAGTCCATCTAAATCATACCTCAAGCCTGCTGGGAGCTCAATCAAGCGCACATGGCCTTCCATGTCATCTCTCTGGTAAACTTCTGCTTGGCATGGTTGGGCAGACGATGTTCCGAGAGAATGAGCACGTAGGCTCTCGACGGACTCTGAACATAGAGCTTGCGTGTGGACATCGGACAGCCACGACACAGTACTTGATGTCACCGACCTTACTCTTGAGGCCGGCATCAGCCCCCAGAGAGAGTGGGAGGGTTGTGAAGGCGAAGTTGAAAAGTACCTAAAAATGGACGCTCCAGTCGAATTGCGCGCGCTTATGCATCTTTGCCTTGGCGAGGCGTCGACGTCACTCGCGATTTCTCCGTTGTCGTGCAGCAGCTAACTCGCCGAGCACACCCAAAATGTGCCTCGAAAAAAATCACGTCGCGAAATTCGCCGTGGGCCTGTCAAAGAGAGCGTTTGCTGCGGGAAGAGGCTGGTGCCAACTCCGACATACGGTGACGAGGTCGGTCTTCTCAAGACTGCCGAAGGTACGCCTTAGTATTATAAGGGAAGATGGCACGGCCTAGACCCTGATACCGGCACAGCCTCTCGCCAAGGCTCAATCCGAGGCTATCATGCCGTAGTGGGAATGAATCAATCCGTTCGAAGTGTGGTATTTGTTACGTCTTTGCATAGCTACATGGAAGCAGGATTCTCGATCAAGCCGACGTCGAGTTAGCACTCATGCCGCCGTTGGTGGGATCCTGAATGCCCAGCAGACCATAGCTCCACAGCTGGATCGCGTCGCTCTCGGTACCCTCGGGGCTGATCTCGCCCAAGGCCGTCACCGAGAACCTCTCGGTCTCGTTGCTCCACGTCCAGCTCCAGACCTCTGCGAACCTCTCTTCGAACGCACCGTTGATCGCCTGCCACAATCTGCTCTGCGCGTCAACGAGGTCGCTGACCAGCTGGTCATCGTCGCACCAGTCGGGTCGCTCCGTGAGACCGGACTTCTCCACCTCGGTGCGGTTGGCCGACGTATCGCAGGACGCGATGATACGATCGAGACCGGAAGCCATAAAGTTGGTCTGGAAGCCCCACGAGACGGTACCGTGGTAAGCGGTGCGATCGAGCTCCTCGGTCTTGGTCGTGTTGGGATCGTACGCCGGGTTGGCGACTAGCATGCCGACGTTGGTGAGCAAACCACGAGGGTAGGGCTGCAGCGCGGTGATGACCGCTTCGATCAGACCACGTGATGGCTGACGAGCGTACAGCAGGTTGAATGACAGATCCGAGTTCATCACGGGTACGACCGTGCCGTCGTCGAGCAGAGATAGACCGTACACCGTCACGTTGCCGGATGAAGCCTGCGTGTCGTTGGTCGACTCCTGACGCGGCGCAAGGGCGAAATCAGCCTCGCGGCTGAAGGTGACTCCTCCCCACCTGCGCGACATGCCGCTGCTGGTCGAGTTACCGCTGTCCGTCGAGTTGGTGCTGTTGGTGGCCAACGAGGAGGTGTTGAGCGAGCCCTGTCCGTACAGCAGGGACGACGACAGGTTCGCCCGCTGAACGTACCCCTCGAGACGGCTGCGCGCATCTTGAGATGAGATAGCGTATTGGAAGAATTTAGGCGCTTCTGACTCCCACACGGATGCGTAATTTGCCGCCAGGTCGCCCAATTCCGCCCCACTTGCATTGACAGCTGTCGAAGTGAAGTTCGACAGCAATCCTGCTTTCGCCATATCAGAGATGGCGTACAACGCAGCAGGAACGAGGGCAGTTGAGACGTCGTATGGGTAAGTTCCCCAGCCTAGCCCTTGGTTGGAATCCCTCCATGAACCAACGCTGATGTTAGGCTGGATGCGAGCCAAGTTGCGGAAGTCGTTGGAGTCCTGAGCGAAAGCGACAGACGAGTTGAGGACGTACTCAACGTTGGCGTAGACGAGCTCGGCGTAGCTGGTGCCGTTTGCGAGCGTGGCGTTGCGCGAAAGGAATTCTGTGGCCGCATCAGACGCGGTCGGGTTGGACGAAGTGCCGTTAGACGAAGTGGTGTTCGACGAGGTGGCATTGTATCGGAGAAGGTAGTCGGCGAGCTGAGGAAGGAGAACATAGTGAGTGTCCTTCATCTTGTAGTCAAAGACTGGCTCGTTGCCCTTCTCGGGGTGACCCTCGCCGATGTTGACGAACGTGGCGTAGTCGCCGATAGTCTCTTCGTGGCACACCTGGCCCGACGTGATGTTGATGCGCTCAATCACACCACCGAGCACCGACTCGATGGCGAAGGGAGTGAGCGTCTTGTTGTTCATCAACAGGCGCGTCGTGAACATGGTGTCGCGGCCGAAGTAGGTGAGGAAACGCCAGCCACCAGCGGTGAATTTGGACGCGTAGGTGAGGAAGGAGAATTGTTCCTGGGCGTCCGGCTGCATGGAAGCGGTGGTGTCGGGAGCGAAGAGGGTGTCCACGGACAGTGGGGCCAGGGCAGTCTCGTTGACCGTCACGGTGAACGTGACCGAGCCAGGCTGAGCCATGGCTCGAGATGTGTCGTTCGTGTTCACCGCTGGGGTGATGATGTTGACGGTCGGGGGCGTGTAGGTACCATTGTTGGACGGAGTGATGTCAAAGGAAGTGCCGTTGTTGGCCTGAAGAAGCCACTCGAGCGAGTATCGCCCTCGACCCGTCTCCTGACCTTGAGCATCGCGGATGATGCTCTCGTTGAGCCAGGGCTTGCTGAGCCACAAAGTCTGATTGTCGGCTTGGGTGACAGTCCAGTTGAAGATCTCGTTGGTGAGACCGTTGCCTTCGGTGAAGTCTCGGACGGTCCTGATGGAGCCGAGTAGCGTGGTGCCGAGCGTGGCAGACTGCGAGAAGAGCAGCTCGCCTGTGACACCAGCCTGACCATTGTCACCATAGGCACTCTTGAGTCCACTCTCGCCGAGCGTGACTGTCAAGCCTGACGCTGACGTGTTGCCGCCCTCAGTGGCGTTGGTTCCATTCGTGTACGGGAGGAAGAACGCCACAGATCCGGAGTTGCCAGCGGGCAAAGCGACCAGGAAGCGATTCAGTGTGGCTCTAGTTGAGTTGCTAGTCGGGTTCGACGAGCTCGTGTTCGTGAGCAACACTTGGGCGGAAGTGCCGTTAGAGCGCAAGAAGTAGTTGTCGTACGGTCCTGACGTGAGGTTCAGTTGGACATCGATCTGCTCCTCAGGAAAGCGTGTGACCAATGGGTTCGTGCTGTTGGAAGTGTTTCCGGTCTGCTGTTGGCCATTGACCAGAACAGCGGCCACGGAAGCGGCGAGTGCCGTGTGACCAAGAAGTGGCAGCCTCATGTTGAGAATCAATGAGGAGCGCGATGTGATATGGGGATGCTAAGGGCAACCATTCAACGAGCAGGGTGTATATAAAGGATGTCCGGTTTCGAGCCCAAAGGCGGATCGCACTGGGAGCCCCACAGCGGGGAAAGCGAGACAGCATGAAAGCATGAGAGGCCAAGGATCTGATGCTTGTGCCCGTCCCCCACGTTTCTGGGGGCTTCTAGGCGAGCAAACCATGCGGGTGTGGCTACAGGCGAGCTGAAGCCGAGTTCTTGACCAAACTTTTCGTGCTGGTCAAATTGTCAGTGCCGCGTGCGGTACAACGGAAGCTCGGGCTGGCATCGGCTACCATGTCGCTGTGCAACTCGAGACCAAGATGGGGGACAAGCGAGAGGTACAAGGGGGATGTGCCATTGAGCGTGTCTCGGCTGGGACGGTGAATTTCATCATCGAGCGAGCTTGGCGGCGAATTCGGCGAGAAAGGCATTTCGAGGGCCGCTGGCCACGGGGCAAACCTGCTTCATGCCGGCGAGTTGCTTCGTCTACGGGAGGCCGTTCGCTTGACATCCATCAGCATAGGCCGGGGTACGGAAGTCGGAGCCGGGTCGAAGGGGCGCCGAAACATGCCCGCTCTTCACCAAGCGAGGCGAGATTTCGGCTCGGAAGGGAGGTCTCCGTGAATGATGGCCAAAGAGCCGTGCCGGGCTTTGCGCACAGCTGCGCACCACCATGAGATGTATATCACCCCACTCTGCATAAAGCGCACAGTTGAACGGCTATGCAAAACGAGCGGCACGAGACGGGATCAACGTGTGCAAGCGAGAACCACGAGGAATCCATCGACAACATCAGATCCTTTTCGCCTGCTCAACGTCGAGAGGCTGCAATGACTCAGGTCAGCTTTGGCGTCGACAACAGGCTGACCGTTCGCGCTGGTTGCAGGAGGAGAGAAGAGAGGATGAAGGAATGGCGAAGCTCAACGTCTCTCGGGAGAAGATGGCAAGGCCTGAGGCGAGAAGCTACTTTTAAGGATTGTTGTACAGCGCGCCCTAACAGTAACGGATTTATCTGCTGCGACGCCGGGCAGAGTAGGATGATTGCACTGCTTTGCCGCATGATTGACAGCCGCCGGTTACCGGTCTGCCCCGAGCAGGGACTTCCTTGTCACACAACGCACTTGTCGGCATCGAGGCTGACCCCGTCGGAAAGGAAAACAACCCAGAGCATGGCAGAAAAGCGGAGCAAGTCGTGCCGAGCGCAGCAACCACGACACGCCGCATGCCACAAGGATATGTCAAGATGCCGGTGAAGTCTCCGCCCCCGCACGATTGTTTCTGACAGCTGACTCGACGTACCCTTGTCCAGTCTCACGAGTAGGTGGCTTTGCTATCGACGTCGCCTCCACGAACAGAACGGTCTTCTCCTGTCCCGAACAGCTCCGGTCGTGTGTGCTGTGTGCTCCTCCAGCAAGAACGCTTCCTCCGTTCTGTAGCCGCGCTAAGCGACGGTCGATAGGTCACCACTTCATTTCGGCTTGCTCGTCTCGTTATAAAGCCTTCTGTCGAGCAACTACTCAAGCTCAAGGCCTTCCTTCTTTTCTGGCAACTTTGCTTGCTGTGCTCAACCTTCAAGCCCACATACCAGTTCGGCGCCACCCACGACTGACCCACATTCTCCTTAAAGCCTTCTTGTTGCCGACCAGCTGGCCCAGCTAAAACCGACCGACAACATGTCTGCGCAGCAGCGACACCAAATGGGGCGCCAAGCTCCAGCTCGGCTCGTTGCTGCCGAAAGCGTGAGCTCCTTGCAAATGGGCACGATGCGTCGTATCCTGCCAGCATCATCGTCCTCTTCAATCGCAGCATCCAGAATGCCCTCGTCGGTGCCAGTCAAGCCTCACACTGCGCAGCTTCGACCGAGGATGCCAATCGAAGCCAATCCGACCACCACAAGTCTCGAGACCGACAAGGTCAAGACGGAGGCATTATCACCCGTCACGGCGGCAACGACATCTGCCAGCGCAGGTAAGACCTCGACAGGAAACGGCTTCACACCCATGGAACTAGTCGAGGACGAAGCCGAAGCGGACCCGGACCCGGACAGCGAAGTGATGGCACACGAAGGAGGATGGCAAGGGTGGAGAGTGGTCGTGTGCGCAGCCGCATACTTCTTCTTCACGCTGGGCATGGTCTACTCGTTCGGTATCATCTCAGAAGCGCTCGTATCCGCCGGTGCTGCCGATGCAGGGACACTAGGCTGGGTCTCGTCGCTCACCATCGTGCCCATGCCCATCTTCTCGGTTCCCTTTACGAAAGCCGTCTCACGCTTCGGCAATCGCGCTGTCGCTGCTGCCGGTGCTATCTGCGTCTCTGTCGGCTATGCGTGCTTCTCGATCTGTTGGATACCCACGAGTCATCCGAAGCTGCCACTCGGCGAAGGCGTGCACGAAGGCTTGGAGTTGCGGATGGCACGCATGGTGGTGTTTGCCTTCATGGTGGGCGTCGGGTACGGTTTGGTCTTCTTCTCAACAAGTCAGATCGCTGTTGGCTACTTCAAGAGCAAGAGGGGGCTGGTGATCGGCATCGTATATAGCGCAAGCGGCTTCGGTGGAGCTGCTTGCGCAATGCTGTTGAGGGTGCTGGCGAACAAGGTGGGACTTGCATGGTCCGTTCGGATCCTGGGCATCACCTCGGGACTTGTGCTTCTTCCATCAGCATACTGGCTGGTTCCGCATCAAGTCGAACGAAGCAAAAGATGCGTTGAAGCCTTTCGCCTCTCGCTCTTTCTCGATGCGCGCTTCAATCTACTGTTGGTGGCAACGGCGCTCGGTACCTTTCCGCTGTTCGTTCCACCATTCTTGCTGCCAACGTACGCAAAGTCGGCAGGGTTCAGTCCGAATACGGGCGCATGGCTCGTCGCAGGCTACAGTCTGGCTTCGGCCGTTGGACGAGTCGCGTTCGGTATGGTCGCTGATACCAGAGTTGGGCCGGTGACCAGCCTCATGCTTGCGCTGACGCTGGCGAGTGCCAGCATCTTGGCCATCTGGACCGTATCGAACAGCTTAGCGACGCTGGCTTTGGCTATGGTTCTCAACGGAGGCAGTTCTGGCGCTCTGCTATCGCTTCAACCTCCCGTCAATGCTGCTATCTTTGGTGTCCACCAGACGGCGCTAACCATGGTAAGTGCAACACCTTGAAGCTCGATTCTCTCAACCAAGCATGCTGACGAATGCGCTTTTCTCGCTGCAGTCGATGATGATGTGCTCGCGAGCATTCGGCTCGCTTTTAGGTGGACCTCTGGCTGGCTACCTCTTGGACGCATTCGGAGGACCTCGTGCGGGCACCCAAGCTTTCCGACCAGCCTTGCTCGTGATGGGCAGCATCTGCCTCGTCTCTGCGATCAGCGTCGTCTTTCTCCGTTCCAAAGTTGCAAGTCGTCGCAATGTCACCTGGCGAGCTCGTATCTGAGCCCATTCTGAACGCACAGCATGAGCAATCAAGCATGTTAGCAGGTCGAGCATGGCGCAAGTCTGAGCTTTGGTACACTGGATCGTGATCGATCGGGCATGAGCTGAGTACAGCCGATACAGGGCTCGGCGACTTGTTCTGTGCTCTCGTGCCGTGTTAGAATTTAGCGGTGCTGGCTTGGCGTCTAGGCAAAAAAAGGGGGCAGCTGGCTCAGCGCGCGAGTTTTGAAAAGGCACCGCCACTGCCGCTGCTGCGCTGCAAATCCTCAAGTTGACCGTGTGCTCTGCCGGCGAGCTGACAGGCCGTCATAGGGCAGTGCGAACCCTTCCTGCAGGAATGCAGTGCTCATGCAGATTCTCTCGTTCGTGGTTGCCGTCTGTCGTCTTTGTCGAGGTCGACTGTCATCCGAAGCTTGCTTGCATCGACGCTGCCACCACCATCGCAACACTTTGCTATTCCTCTTAAGGCAAGCAAGGGATCCTTCACGCTTTCATCGAAACTCCAACCCCACTCGCCCTTCGTCCGAGGTCTTGCATCTGTAGCATACATCATCAAGCATTCGTCACGACGCAAACGCAAACGCAATTCTTTCACCACTGTACGATAGGAGCAGGCCCTCCTCCCCATTGATCGAGCAAGCATCCGCGCAATCAGCCTACCCGTAACCCACACGCACCTCCCAAAAGCCCAATCCGACCCCTCCAGCTCAAGCAACATCAGTCAACATGACGCGTAGTAAGCGAAGTGGAATGGAGTTCTGCTGCTGCTACCTTCCGCTTGTCAATGTCGGTGCCTACCTCCTGGTGCTCGAGACGGCGCTTGTAGCGCTTGCTGTCGGCATCTGCGCCCTGGTGCCACCATCCATCGTTGCCGGCGAAGGTGTCATCCCGTCGTGGTCGAAAGGCCTCATCGGCGCACTTGGCTTCATCACACTTGCCTGGCAGCTACTCGGCCTCGTTTCCGTAGCCCGTCAGATGCCCACTCTCTACCGCACCTACATCCGCGTCAACTTCGTCCTCACGCTCGCCGTCATCGTCGCGGCGGTGGCGTTCCTCGTCGTCGCCGGTGTCCAGCACAACAAAGCCGTTACCACATGCGTCGCCACCTACGGCGTGATCCCGTCCAACTCGAACGCTGCCTCGTCGATCTCAGTGTCGAGTCTGGGCCAGGACGCGGATGCCTTCTCGCAATCTGGACGCCAGATCTGCAACATCTTTGTCTGGGCGCAGACGGGCGTCATGGGCGGACTGATTGTGCTGATGGGTCTGACGCAATTCTACATGCTCGCGGCGCAGCGCGCATACGGTGGCGAGCAGAGACAGGCGTTCCGCGACAGCAAGGCGAGCTACCAGGACATCCCCATGAATCCGAGGGACTCGGGCGTCTGGGAGCCTAGGGCAAATGATCCATACGCTCCTCACCAGCCAACATACGGCAATGGAGGCGGCTACGATTCGTACGCTGCTCCACACGGTGATCAGTATGCGCACAAGCCTTACTAGGTCGGCAGACAGACTTCTTTGCCTTGTCATGGGTCAATGCGGCGTTCGCTTGCACACATTTCTCTGATGGACCTTTTGTTACCCTCTCGATGCAATTTCATGGACATTCTCTCTCATCGTTCGTCTCCTTCGCTCGTCCCTTGTGGACTGCTAGTGTGACGAGCATGCACCTTGCCCGCCCTCATCGTAGTCGATCCTGGGCAGCGAGCGGCACCGCGGTTTTTTCGCTGTCAGCATGTTGAATCGCACTCATTGACAACGCGAGGCTCAAAATCCGGCTCCGAATCGCTGCCGGTGGACCCTGAGGCTGCGCCCAAAATTTGTCTGCACGTTCCGCTTTTCATCATCTCCTCGACCACCCAAACTCCTCTTCGCTACGCTACAATCTCAACATGTCGGGACGTCAAGGAGGCAAGGCTAAGCCGCTCAAGGCGCCCAAGAAGCAGAACAAGGAGCTCGACGAGGATGTGAGTTGTGGTCCACTGTTACCGCGAAGAACGTGGGGACCCCTGCTGACGATGTGGTTGTTCTTTACCCTCTCTCTCTCTTTTTCTGGTTCAACCCGACTCGATGAATCTTTCGACTGCGATTCACAAATGCGCTCGAACTACGATGAATTCTTGGATGTGTTGCTGTATGGTGGCAGGATCTCGCCTTCCAAAAGAAGCAGAAGGAGGACGAGGCTGCCAGGAAGGCTGCCGCTGCCAAGCTGACTGGCGGCAAGAAGAAGTAACTTCCGACCTCACCCTTCTCTTCGAAGACAACGGCAAATCTCACTGACAGCTTTCGAGCTCATTCAACATTCCAGTGTGACGTCCTCCAGGCGACGAGACAGTACCGTGTGATGGCGAAGCGATGCCGAAAGGTCCAGACGGTCGATCGTCCGTGTCCCTGGTCGGCCTGAATCGAATGAACCTTCCCCGATCGGACGGATCTCTCTTTGAAGTCAAGCCAAACCCGATCGACGCAATCCGACGTTGATCGGGCATGGCTGCTCCCGAAACAGACCGGCGACGTGCTTGCAGATCGAGGTGCATCGGCCCGCTCTGGTGCTGCAGCATGCAGGATGAGCTTATTGTTGATACGTCGCTTTGTCCCGAGGTACGCTTGAATGGTGTCGGAAGTCACACGACCGCAGCTCTGGACGCTGTCATGATCTTGGGCACATCCACCGGCACGAGGCAGTTAGCGAAGAGAGGCAGCGCAAATCTTGCTCTCGACGAATTTGAAAATCGCGACCAAAAGGAGAAGGGCAAAAAACATGCCAATGCAACCGACGGTTCCAGCCACGTCTTCGCTTGACGAATCAGGAGGATGGCGCTGAAACCCACCTTCGATTGAGCTCAAAGGCGCTTGACGAATCAGGAGGATGGCGCTGAAACCCACCTTCGATTGAGCTCAAAGGCACGGTGTCGAGGTGCAAGACCAGGCGCATTGCAGTCACCACAGAGAATGCTGTGTCAGCCAAAGAGGGTGGAGAGCAAGATCCCATTGCCAAGGTTCTCGATTCGAGAGTCGTAGCCACGCAGCAGGGACCGAGTTAGGATATGCAGGCGAGCTCACACGACCATGGCCACCTCCTGGCTCACGAAACAGGCAGTCTGGCCACCAGAGTAGCTCGTATGCTAAACAGGTTTCACACAATGTACATGTCGGTCAAGTTGGATCGCAGTCGCAGCCTCGAGCTTTATCTCCCACGACGAGCCCTTCATTCGAACTCCGAACCGAATCTCGAATTGGCAAGAGCGAGGCGGGCGAGAGACGATCTCAGAGTGTGCATGAAAAGATGGACAAGAAAGTTCTCCGATCATGCACGGGTGGGATTGGCTTGCGCAAGATTCTCTGGGGCGCACCTCTTCGGTCTCGACAAGAGGTGGACCACATCACACGAGCGTGCAACGCTGTCGACCCTCGATCCCACTGCGAGCTTTCGTCTTTGCAACCTCGGACGACCTTCATCTTTGACTGCTTATCTACGTTCGACTGCCGACCCTGCGGGGAAAGAGTCATTCGAGGAACGGGGAGGGCGACGGAAGAGGAACCGCCATTCGCTAACCGCTGGTACGAGCTTTGCCAAGCTTCCGGGACGATAACAAGACGAATCCCTGGATCGATTTAGGCTCGCCTGCCGCCTGTCTTCGATACAGCGTAGCCGAGATGCCCGGTCAAGAGCTCCGAACGGAAAGGGGTCAACCCTCGGTCGACCTTTCAGCGTCCTGGCGACGCTCGATGTCGCACAGAGTCCGAACGGTCCCATGCGTTGCCTTGTTCTGAATAGAACTCGTCTCTGATTCGGTCGGGATCGTTTCGCCGATACAGAGGGCGCTTTGAGGTCAAACAATGACAGAACAATAGCAAGAAAAAGGGCTCTCAGCTCGCTTGCTCTTCGCCCTTTGAGACAAACAGGCTTCCACCGCTCCACATTCCTGATAGCTGCACACGGCGCAATTTCCCACGACCGCATTTCACACAGCGTGATTTTGGCTCACAAGCTGACTCGCATCTAAAACCTCCTCTTCTTGACCTCCCTAAAGGCTCTTTCTTCTCATCCTTCTCAACCATCACCCTGAGCCTATCCATCAACATCGTCACTCTCTCCCTCTCCACAGCGCTCGCTTGTGTCCCTTCCGCTGCAATCCGCTCCCACACAACGGCTCGCGACTCAATACATGGTGGACCCAGCCTCGTCTAGCAAGCACAACACAATCAGCATCAATGACAACACTACAGCCGTGAGCGCGCACCCTGGCAGTGCAAGTGCGCCTAACAACTTGCTCGATAGGGACTCGGAAGCACAAGCCCCACATCATACCATCTCGGGCGACAGTGACAGCGACGTGGACGACGATTCGGTCACAAACGCAGGCAGTTTCACCGACCAACGATCTGATATCAAATCGATAGACGCTCAGAGCATACGCGTCACGGACTACACGGACGGCGAAGCGCGAAATGACAACGATACTGTCATGGTTCAAGCCGGTGGATCGGGCTACTCGGACGCAGACCTCAAGCAGACCCGCGACCTGGAATCTTCCCAGCCGCCATCACAACCCCGTGGCACCGCGCATGCTGCAGACGAAGATCTGGACGATGAATACGAAACTCACGCCTCGCTGCTGGGCACGGCTGGCTTTGTCGACCGCCGTGGCACCGCCTCTCGTCTAGCTGCTCGCTCTGCATTCTCGCGGTTCTGGGAGATCGCTCGAGAGGCGCTGCCCACCTTGATTGTATCCGTGCTCTCGCTCATGTTCTCAGGCGAGCTCCTCGTCCATCTCGCCCGATGGCCCGTATTCCGCAAGGTCGACAAGCTCTTCATCCTCATTCCTATCTTGCTCAACATGAAGGGCAATCTCGAGATGAACCTCTCGCTTCGCATGTCCACCTCGGCCAACATCGGCGAACTCGACGTTAGGAGGACGAGGGAGACGCTCATTCGTGGCAACTTGGCGCTACTGCAGGTGCAGGCCCTGATCGTCTCGATGTTTGCCGGCGTGCTCGCTTTCGTGCTGGGCGTAGTGACGCCCGACCCACAAGTCGAAGCTCCCGTTTCACCAGTGCCGACAACACCGCGACAACAGACACCTGAAAACGCATTGATATCCAGCATTGTAAGGAGCGCCTTCTCCGCCGTGACACTTCGAAATCGACGTAGATCTCTCGCCGGCACCGCGACAACACAGGGCGGCTCATGGCTACAAAAGCGACGTATCATTCATCACCCGAAACCGCCCACGGATCCAGCACTTCGTCTCCGCAACGGCTACTTCGAGTTTGTCCTTGTCATCGCAACAGCCATGCTCTCGGCGTCGCTCTCGTCCGCCATGCTGGGTTCCTTCATGTGTGCACTGGTCGTCATCGCTCGACGCGCAGGCGCCAACCCAGACAACATCGCATCGCCGCTGGCTGCTTCGCTGGGCGACCTTACGACGCTCACCATCCTCGGTCTGCTCGCCTCGTCGCTGGTGCACTTTGAGGGAACGTTTCTTGCAACCGTCATCCTGGCCGCGATGGCCGTGGCTTGCATTGCATCCTTCATCGTCACCTACCGCAACGCCTACGTTCGAGAGCTGCTGACCTCAGGATGGGTGCCGCTATTGATGGCCATGTTCATTTCATCCGGAGCAGGCCTGGTGCTGGACGAGTATGTGGGCAAGTACGAAGGATTTGCGCTGCTTGCGCCCGTCATTAGCGGTCTTCCCGGTGCGTGTGCGGCCATCTTTGCCTCGCGCATCACCACATCGCTGCACTCTGGCAAGGGCGCTGCGCTCCTTCGTGCCGCCTCCAAGGCAGGCGACGTTGGTGGCATCCGTGGAACCCTCGCATCCATCCGCTCAGTCCTCCTCATCCCACCCATCGAGGGCTGGCTCGTACCCATCAGTCTCTTCACCATGGGCGTAGGCATCAAGGTCGTCTTCATCGTCATGATCCGTGTGGCGGGCCAGATGAGCTTCGGCTGGATTTTTGCGCTCACCTTCATCGGTGCTAGCGTTGCCGCCAACCTGTTTGCGCTGTACCTGGCGCATGTCATCTGCCTGGTGCTGTGGAGTAGAGATTACGATCCGGATATCTACTGTCTGCCGTTCGTGAGCTCAATCGTCGATGTCGTCGGGCAGAGTCTGCTGGTCATGACGTTTGGCGTGGCGACCGGGTTGGGCGATCACATCACTGCGGCGGTCAACGCCGGGCATGGAGCGGTGTAAAGCATTTTCTCCTGTACTTTTACATTCCTTTATGAGCATTCATGCATTCACTTCCTCCTCGTTACCTGCTTTGTGTGCTCGCGGTGAGCTCGAATGCCAAGCTGAGGCGGTCAGAGACGAGGAGATCGACGGGTTGGTGGGTCTGACGGGCCTGAATCTTAATTCTAACAGAAATGGAAAACAGATCGAGGCCGAGACGGAAGTCGGAATGATGGCAGAGCGCGGTCGAGCCGATTTTGCTCGAAGGGTGTTGCTCTTCATCTTCCTTCTCCCTTCTCAGCTCCCTACCTTCCTCACTGTCGTGTCATCTTCTCGCATTTACGCAAATCGCGAGGTTCGTATCGACGATCAAGCACCGAAGCAGGGAGCCATATTGAGCTATTACAACGTGCGATCGAATCCGAGCTCGACCCACCACCCCCAATATGGCGCCCGTCGCCGTTGAACCCAAGCGCGAGGCCTCCCCCGGCTCGCCCTCACCCAAAGCCCTCAAAGCCAGCTCCTCATCCCCAGTCCCACCCACCGACGCCATTCCCTCGACATCCAAACGAACCATCGAAGAGGAAGAAGACCTCGAAGCGCATCTCCTCTTTCCGGACACACCGCACCCGCCTCCCCACAAAAAGCGAGTATGGGTTCCCACACTCCACCTCACGCAGCCGCCACAACCACCACAGCCGGACCCACGCACGGTCGCCGAAATGGCAGCGCAATCTGCAGCCACTGCGCTGGGCTACGAAGGTCGACGCATCAAAAAGTTCATGCAGCGACGAACGGTCGACTACTTTGGCGCCTTCTCCCACCTTCGCACTCGTCAGACGCTCTCCACCACCGTCCGACCCGACGGTCTCCTCGGCGGTCTTTACCCAAGCCCACACTCCATCCCATCCTTCCTCCTAACCTCCGGCTATCCGGACCTGACCACCAGTCTACCCACCCATCTCGTGCATACGAGCACGAACAAGATCCGCTGTCCCGTCAACGTCGTCCGCTGGATGCCGGACGGGCGTCGTCTCCTCACCGGTTCCACCTCGGGCGAATTCACCCTGTGGAACGGCCTCACGTTCAACTTTGAAACCATCATGCAGGCGCACGATTCGGCCGTGCGCGCAATGGCGTGGTCCAAATCCGGCGCCTTCCTCATCAGCGCTGATCAGAACGGAAGCATCAAGTACCATCAGGGGAACCTGAACACGCTCCAGGCGTTCCAGGGGCATGGGGACAGCGCGAGAGGTTTGGCGTGGGGTCCTGACGATGGGAAGTTCGTAAGTTGTGGGGATGATAGCTTGATCAAGGTGTGGGATTTTGACAGTGCCAAGCAGATTCGCGAACTGAGTGGGCACGGATGGGATGTCAAGTGTGTCGATTGGCATGCTACCAAAGGTCTACTGGTCAGTGGGAGCAAGGATAATTTGGTCAAGGTATGGGATCCACGTGCTACACCGAGTGGGACGTGCCTGGCAACGTTTCATAATCATAAGAACACGGTGCAGTCGGTGCTATTCAGTCCGGATGGGTTGCGATTCGCCAGCGCGAGCAGGGATATGACGGTCAAGATCTACGACTTGCGCATGATGGCGGAGCAATTGACCCTCAAGGGGCATGTCAAGGAGGTGTGCAGTCTGGCGTTTCACCCGCTGCATCACGATCTGCTCGCATCGGGGGGGAGCGAAGGCAGCCTGCTCTATTGGGATTTGCGCGGGGCGTCGGCGGAATCGCTCTCGGCGACCAACTGGGGCGAATCCCGGATGACCGGCGGCGGAGGGGAAGGAATGGACGTCGGAGAGGGGAGACGCAGCGATGAATGGCTGACGTGGAAAAACGAGACGGCGCACGAGAGCAATGTTTGGAGTCTGGCTTGGCATCCCATGGGACACGTGCTTGCTAGTGGGAGCAACGACCATATGACGCGGTTCTGGGAGAGGGCGAGACCGGAGGAGAGCGTTCAGGTCCAAGGGGGTGGCGTGGAGGTCGGAGGGTCGTTCTTGCATGTTGGAGGGGGAGATGATAGTTTTATTCCTGGTCTGGGCGCCGGGAGGAGCTTCATACCGACCAACGAGGTGAAGATGGAGATGACCGAGAGTGCGGGTGGGATAGGCGGCGACGATTTTGCCATTCCAGGACTCGGGTTTGCGAGTAATGGGATGGCGCCTCCCCCTCCTCCTCCTCAACAGCAGTACGGCATGGGAGGAGCGGGTGGATTCACGCCGGGCACAGGCGCCAATGCTCCGCTTCCAGGTGCCGCTGGTGGGTTCGGATGGACTGCTCGTGGCCAACAGGCGCAGCAGGGACAGCAAGGACAGCAAGGAAGACCGGGTGGCACGTACGGCTCGTTCTACTGAACCCGGCACTCACAACACGATCCCCTTGTACGCACCTTTCACCCATCAAAGCGCCGTTGCACCCCTCAATCCACTTCATCACATCACATCACATCACACATTCTTCTTTGACTGAGCCAAAACCATGAATTGAAAACCGAATGAACAATAACCATAATGCAACTTCCCTCTCGTCAACCCATCAAACCCCTCCATTCATCCTTGACCACCCAACTGGCTCCCGCCTTCTTCTCCTTCTTGGCGTACACGCCTACTCTTTCGCCGATAGCGTTCTTGCTTGCGCTCTTGCCGAGCTTGTCGAGCACCTCCTTGAGATCGTCCACCAGCCCTGCGCGGGTCTTTGTGGATCCGTCGATGGCGGTGAGTAATGCTGGGATGGCGTCTTCGCGAAGCTGGTGTTTGAAGCCTTCTTTTGCGGGAGGGGTGGGAGGGGCGGAGGAGGGGGCGGACGGGTTGGCGTCGGCCCAGAGGGCGGCGAGGACGCCACCGGCCGGCAGGGGGGCTTTACGGATCTTGGTCGGGGTGTCGACCGCATCGTCCGCCACAGGCGCGTCGACCGCTTCGACGACCGAGCTGAAGGTGAACGGGTTGAGGCCGAAGCACGCGTCGTTGAGCAGCTCGATGCGGTAACTCGAGAAGAGGTCGTAGTCGCATTTGCCCAGCTCGGCCTCCCAGTGCGGTCCACTCGAGAAGGGTACGAGCTTGGCGTCGAAGCGCCTGCCTAGCAGCTTGACTTTCTTCTTCTTCTTCGGGTGCAGCAAGTTCGTCGTCACCGGCGCAGGGGGCACGGGCAAGCCCTTGGCGTCGACCTCAACGATCTCATCGTCCACATCCATCGCAGCCAACCTTTGCTCTTCTTCCTCCTCTACCTCGAGATCGTCAACCAGCCAATCGTCCATCTCCGAGTCTTCATCCTCGTCCATCACGCTGTCGTCCTCCTTCTCCTCGCCCTCCTGCACATCCTCGCCCTCCACCTGACCCATCTCTTCCCAGTCGGCGTCCGAGTCGTACGAGTAGTCGAGCGAAACGGGATCCTGACCCAAAGGACATCGCGGACCAATGAGGTTGGTCGACTTGGTCCATGTGCCGTACCACCCCGGTCGACGGTCCGACTCGAACTGCAGCAGCTTGAGCTGCACCTTGTTGCGATCTTGGAGCGTCTCGAGCGCCTTTTCGGCCTGCTCTTGAGCATTACCGCCGAGCACGTCCGATTCGGTGACGACGCGTTTGATCTCGCGTACCGAGACGGGCGGGTGAACGCCTTTTCGTCGACGAGGCACGTTCGAAGCTGTGGATCCTTTGAGGACCGAGGAGCGCGTAAGGAACTGTGAGAGCATCTCGTCGCGGGAGAGGTCGGCTTGACCGAGCTGCGGGACTTTGGGAGCACCAGCAGGCGAGGCGAAGCGGTTGATCGGCGCAAGGTCCTTGTACTGACACGGCAGGAAAGTGCGGTCAAAATCGGAGATGGTCTCAGCAGCCTTGCCAGCTGCAGCGCTACTTGAAGCGACAGCAGCACCCGCGGCCGGCTTGGAGGGGCTCTTCGGCGCCGCCTTCTTGACAAATGATGTCAAGAAGTTCGCTTGACGCTTCTTTGCGTCTTCTACTTTCTTGAGCTCGGCCTCCTTGGCTTCTTTTGCCTTTTGCTTCTCCTGCTCCTTGGCTTCTCGCTCAAGGCGCTTTGCCTCCTTGGCCCTCAATCGTTCGGCCTTGGCGGCTTCCTTCTCCTCCTTCTCCTTCTGCTTCTCTGGCGAGAGCTCGACGGGCTCCTTGACTTTGCGCTTGTCCTTGGGAGACGAAGAGGCAGATGGTGTCGACGCCTCACCAGCGGCACCCGAGCGCTTAGCGGAGGGTTGCGGAGTGGATGCAGAGGATGACGACTTGCGCTTGTGAGAAGCGACTGGCGTCGAAAGTGGGGCAGCATCGCGCTCGGTGTCAGCAACCGCGCCATCATCCATATCGTCGTCGATCGAGATGGGCTGGGAAGCGCTTGTGCCGGCGGCTGTGGCCTTCATCTTCGAAGCTTTTGGTGGTGTGTTCGTGGTGGCGGAGGACTTGTCGGCAGCCACGGTAGCTGAGATCTTTGACTTGACGCCCTTGTCGAGCAAGGCTTGCCTTTCTTCTTGCTTCAGGCTGCTGAAGATCTGCTGTGCTTGAATGCGTGCCGACTCACGGTCGCTTCTGCGCTCAGTGAACTTGTCGAGAAACTCTGCAGGCAGCATGGCAAGATCAGTGACCTCCCAGCGCCAAAGCTGCAAAGGTGCCGGCACAATTGGTGCCTCCTCGGACGTGCTGGCGGAAGAGTGGCTTGGGACATCGCTGCTGTCGATGCCGTAGTTCTTCCTCTCGGCGACGGCGTTGATGGCAGCCTGTATGCTAGGGAGTGTGAGTTTGCTCCTTGAGGATGATGAAGCTGCCGACATTTCCGAGTCGCTGGATCCAAACTCGGCTTCTGGCATGAGCCTGCTGCGGATTGACTTTGCGAGCTCGACTAGGGACTTGTCGCTCTCCTGGGTCAGCTTGGCAATGACGTGGAGATGCTCGGCGGGAATCTCGTCGAGCTTGTCTTGGACGTCGAGGAACTCCTGGAAGGTGATGACCGCCTTGAGGACGGGCATGGTGCCAGTCCAATTGACGGCCTTCTGCTTGAGCACGAGTTTGCCATTTTTGAGCTCGACCAGGGGCGTCGCGCTGCTGCCGGTACTGCTGCTGCTGCTGCTGAGCTTGGCACGTTTGGTAGCAGGCCCAGACGATGATGTGGCTGTCGTTGCAGCTGCTTTCGCTGGTGTCGCCTCTGCTTTCGCGGGTGGTTTTGCCTTCGCGCTGACCGAAGCTGTAATGGGGCGATTCTCGGCGTCGCTGGAAGAAGCGTTGCCGTGCGCCGACTTTGGCTTTGTGCTGTTGGAAGCTTTGCGCTTGAGGCTGTTGGCAGCCATGTTTCGATCGATGTTCATGTCCGAGTCGGAGAGCATGGCATCGAAGCACGATGACGGCGAAGGCGAAGGAGGTGGCGCAAGGACGCTCATCGCTCGGCTGGCAGTGCTATCGACGGCAGTACCTCGACTAGAGAAGGTGCGATGTCGGCCTCGCTACGATACTTGGTGGCGCGAAGGGTCTCAAGTCAGAGCGATATGAGGGTAGACCGAGGATGTGTGAGTGATCGAGCTGAGTCAACGGACTGGCCGAGTGGGAGTGGGAGTCTCGGATGGGCCGGCTTGGCGGTCAAGGAAGCAATCCGATGCTGAGTCAAGACTCGTGATCTTGCCTTGGAGGCTGAGTATGCTTGTGAGAGGGTGCTGTAGATGTAAAGGATTGAATGAAAGTATGCAGTGACGGACAGTGATGCGAGAGCGAACGATGCGAAGGTGATGATCAGGAGACAGGCAAGGTTGGTTGATGGCTGAGTGCAAATTGACACGCGCTGCACACTTAGCCACGCCCACCACACCCACGTTTCGCCGAAAGAGCAACAGGCAGCTTCCTTGGTGTCACTTTTTTCGCGTCACGCACGCAACCTTGTGTGGCTCAGCTCCGTCTAACGAGCGGGCGATGCCACACTTTCTCACGCCGTGCAGAGTGTTCTTCTTGGACCGCGACTTCTGGGCCCAGCTTCTTCCGCTCGCTCGTTGTGGAAATTGGAAGCATCTCAGCTTGGACCCCTTCCTTCTGATCTTTTTGGCTGAGAAAGAGACGTGTAAATTGAGCATCGCGCCCTGCTGGAGGTGTTTCTCTACGCGTCGCGCCGATTTGAGAGACCGACACTCCACACTGATTTTCTCGAGCCAACGACTTCCGTGCGAGATGGTCTCAGCTGCGCAGGGTCGTGGATCAAGGCATGAGAAGGCCCAACACCCACATCACTGCTTCGAGCTCCAACACCATCACTTTGCACTTTCCCTCGAGGCTTGATCGTCAACATGTTCCTTCAACAGTCGTCAAAGGCGCACAACGCCGGTCAAGCCGCTCAAAAGGAGAAGCTCGCCAAGGAGCGAGCTGCCATGCGACCGTGGGTCGAAAAGTACCGTCCGAAGACGATCGACGATGTTGCTGCGCAGGAACACACCGTCGCGGTGCTCCAAAAGACGCTCATGTCGAACAATCTCCCGCACATGCTCTTCTATGGTCCGCCCGGTACCGGCAAGACGTCGACCATCCTCGCGCTCGCTCGCCAGCTCTTCGGGCCCGAGCTGATGAAGACCCGCGTCCTCGAGCTCAATGCGTCCGACGAAAGGGGTATCAGCGTGGTAAGAGAGAAGATCAAGAACTTTGCCAAGCTGGCCGTGACCAATCCAAAGGAAGGGTTTCCGTGCCCGCCGTTCAAGATCATCATCCTCGACGAGGCGGACAGCATGACGCAGGACGCACAGAGCGCATTGAGGCGCATCATGGAGCAGTACAGCAGGATCACGAGGTTCTGTCTGGTGTGTAACTACGTGACGAGGATCATCGAGCCATTGGCTTCGAGGTGCAGCAAGTTCAGGTTCAGGTCGTTGGATACGTCGTCGACCAAAACACGGCTCGAGATGATCGCGAGCGCAGAATCCGTCGCTTTCCGGGACGATGCCGTGCTGGATACCCTCATCAGCACGTCGGATGGCGATCTTCGACGAGCTATCACGTATCTACAATCTGCGTCGCGCCTCCACAGCGTCGCGGGTGACGAAAAGTCGGCAGTCACCTCGGAGTCGATCGTCGAAATCGCAGGAGTCGTTCCCACGCGGGTCATCGCGTCGCTGGCGAAAGCGGTGGGCATCGAAGCATACAACTCCGACGATGACGTCGAGATGGATTCCGTTGGTGGTGCAAGGAAGAAGGACGCCTTCGAGAGGATCAGAGAGGAGGTGAGGACCATCACAAGGGAGGGCTACTCGATCACACAGCTGCTGGTGCAGCTGCACGACCATATCATCGCCCATCCCACCTTGCTGGCCAAGATCAAAGCAAAGGCGGCGCTCTTGATGGCCCAGATGGACAAGTGTCTCACAGATGGCGCCGACGAGGAGCTGCAGCTGCTCAACCTTTGCCTCAAGCTGCAGGAGGTCGTGCAGACCGATGGCAAGGCCTACGTCTAGAGTTCCGCTTCTGCCTTCTCCCTCGCAGCCTGTCATCCTCTTGCAATCATGTACTTTTAGCCCACACACGCAACCTCGATCGGTCATCTGCCATTGCTTCTTCAAGCGCAAGAGAAAAAGTCCAGAGTCGAGGCGCTGATTGATCATCTCGAAGATGGTCGAAGAATTCCGCTCATTTAATAATATGATTCACGGTAAAATTCACGGCGAAATGCAGCGCAAGAAGAAATGAGGGCTCAAAAATCCCCAGCCGAGTCACCCACGGACCTTCTTGAACTCCACCACGTTTCACCCTGAGTTCATCATCCCATCGACTCTAACGAGCAGTTTCTCATCGGACCACTCCTACGACCTCCTTCGAAACAGCCTGGAACTGTGCCGGCCATACCGACGATGACCGGCGCACACGCCCCCGCCGCGGGGCCATCTCACACCAACCCAACCTCGAAAACGATCGTCATCAAGCTCGGCACCTCCTCGATCATCTCCGAGTCGACCCAGCTGCCCAAGATCGCCATCCTCTCCTCACTCGTCGAAACCTGCCACAAGCTGCGCTCGCTAGGTCATCGGGTCGTCATTGTCTGTTCTGGCGCCATCGGCATGGGACGAATCCGCATGTCCATCACCGAACGGCCCAAAGCTCTCGGTGAACGACAAGCCCTCGCGGCCCTTGGTCAGCTTCGTCTCATCGCACTCTGGGACTCGCTTTTCAGCACTGTCGGCATTCCGGTAGCCCAAGTCCTGCTGACGAGGAACGACATCGCCGATCGCCCTCGCTACAACAACGCACGCACCACCCTCGACACCCTCATCTCCCCGCCGTTCGATGCGATCCCCATCGTCAACGAGAACGATACCGTCTCGGTCTCGGAGCTGCGCTTTGGCGATAACGACACGCTGAGTGCGATCACGGCAGGACTGGTGGATGCAGATTTTCTGTTTTTGTGTACCGACGTGGATGGGTTGTACACGGGCAATCCGCGCAGCGACCCGAATGCGAGACGACTCGGGGTGGTGGAGGACGTAGCGGCGGCGAGGAAGGCGGTGAGCGTCGCAACGATGGGCTCGAGTTTCGGCACCGGTGGCATGCAGACCAAACTCATCGCTGCCGAACTGGCAACCGCCGCCGGCGTCGCAACCGTCATCATCAACGGCGAGCATCCGGAGAACATTGTCAAGGTCGTCGAGAGAGGTATCCCCCCCTCTTCTTCCACCGGAGCGGCGAAGATGGATCTAGCGTCATCAGTGTCGAGTCTAGCGGAGGAGAAGAAGGCGCTGATCGGGTACCCGCCATTGGAGGACCCGGCCCATACACTCTTCCTTCCCACAGCAAATCCGCTTTCGTCGAGAAAGTGGAGCATCTTGCATGCGTTGCATCCGGCCGGAGCATTGATTATTGATGAAGGGGCGTTCAATCGGATTGCGCGGGCGGACTCAGGTGGTCGATTGTTGCCAGCAGGCGTGGTGGGCGTCGAGGGCAACTGGGAGAGGATGCAGGCGATCCGGCTCGTGGTCCGACGGCGGATCAGCAAGTCGGTGCCCCACACTAGTGGGTTGGAGGAAGGCGCACCGCTGTCGGGGTCGATACCCATTGCGAGGAGTCTCGGTCAGTATCTGTTGCGAACCGACGAGGCGGGAACGCGGACACCGCCGGTGATCGATTCCTTGCGCAAGGACGTCAGCGTTCTACCTCCCAGCCCGGCGCGGGTCGAGCCGACGCCGGAAGCAGCACAGGCGGGCGAAGGCGAGGACTGGGAGTGGCAGCTCATCGAGGTCGGTCGTGCGCTGGCCAACTACACCTCGATCGAGAGCGAAAGGATCAAGGGCATCAAGTCGAGTCAGATCTCGGCGACACTGGGGTATGCTGATTCGGATTACCTCACTGATCAGGTTGCGCTGCACACATTGGTGCTGCCGTCGCCGTCCGTCTCTGACTGACACACCACGCAATGCACACGCTCAATCACACAGAAAGAAGACAGAAGCACTTGGATCTCGTCCCGACATGAACGGTTCTACGACATGGTGGGCATGTTGACGCTTGCCCTCTCCGACATGTTTGCGTCCTCGGCGCGCCACAAGCTGGTGCTGGTCTTGTAGCTCGTGTAAAAGTTGAGCGCACTCTTACCGTAGAAACCGATATCGCCCATGACACTGCCCTTGTTACCACTCCACGCGAACATGGGCAGAGGCACGGGAACGGGAACATTGACACCGAGCTGACCGGCGTTGACGGTCTTTTCGAACTTCCTCGCCGTTGCGCCGTTGGTGGTAAAGATCGCAGCACCGTTGCCGTATTTGTTCTTGTTGATGTACTCGACGGCCTGATCGAGGGTGTCTGCTTTGAGGACGACGAGGGTGGGGCCGAAGATTTCCTGGTCGTACGCCTTCATTCCCGGGCCGGCTTCAACGATCGAGGGGCCGACAAAGTTGCCGTTGGGGTAGTCGGGGGAGGCAAAGTCGGTACCATCCAGCAAGATCTTTCCGCCCTCCTGCTCGACGCTACCAGTGAGGGAGCGGACACGGTCGCGCGCGGCAGGGCTGATGAGCGGTCCCAAATCAGCACCCTCCTCAAAGCCTCCTGACACCTTCAACTGCTTAGCACGCTCAACAAGCTCCGGCACCCACGACTGCGCCTCTCCCACCGCAACCACCACCGACAGCGCCATGCATCGCTGGCCTGCAGCACCAAACGCAGCACCCGCGATCGAGTTGAGCGCAAAGTTCTTGTTGGCATCGGGCATGAGGATGGCGTGGTTCTTAGCGCCGAGGTTGGCCTGCACGCGCTTGCCGTTCTGGGTACCACGGTGGTAAATGTGCGCACCGGCCTTGTCGGAGCCGACGAACGAGATGGCCTTGATGCGCGGGTCGTCGCAGATGCCGTTGACAATGTCGACCGCGCCGTTGACGACGTTGAGCACGCCCTTGGGCATTCCGGCGCGCTGGCAGAGCTCGGCAATGATCATCGATGCACCAGGAACGCGCTCCGAGGGCTTGAGGACCAACGTGTTACCAGTGACGGTGGCCATGGGAATGGACCAGAGCGGGATCATGGCGGGGAAGTTGAAGGGCGCGATGGCAGCGGTGACACCGAGAGGCTCGCGACGAGCGTAGGTGTCCATGTCCTTGGACACCTCGATGCGCTCCTCGAGCATGGTGGATGTGACACCGCAGGCGACTTCGACGACTTGAAGACCACGGAGGACGTCACCCTTGGCATCGGCAAAGGTCTTGCCCTGCTCGAGCACGATGGCGTTGGCAATGTCATCCATGTGTTCGCGGAGGAGGGCCTGGAGCTTGAACATGACCTGCTGACGCGTGAGCAAGCTCGTCTCGCGCCACGCGGGGAAGGCGGCCTCCGCGTTGGCGACGGCAGCATCGAACTCGGACTGCGTGGTGAGGGGCACCTTGGAGAGAAGAGCCTGGGTGGAAGGGTCGTTGACGTCGAGCCAGGACGAGGCGGACGAGTCGACGAACTTGCCGTCGACAAAGTTCTTGGTGGTGCCGCCGAGCATCGAGGTGCCCTGCCACTTGGACTCGACATCCTTGGCTCGCGATAGGGCGATCTGGCTGAGCTGAGCCTGAGCTTCACCGGCGGAAGCGGCGGCGGCAGGCTGGGCGAGCCTAGAAGCAGCCGAGGTGGAAAGGCATCGTGCAGCGTTGGCGCTGTTGATGGCCTTGGAAGAGGCGCGAAGGAGGTTGATGGAGCGCATAATTGGCAATCTCGAACAAGCAGATGCCAGGATGAAGAAGGAGAGGATGATGGCGATGATGAGAACGGATGCTTTTCAGAATGTTGCCGTTGGAATAGCGCCTGGGTCAGTCAGCGGCGATAGGAAGGGGACAGTGGCGGGGTAAGCGCTCGGCGAGTGAATCGGCTCTAAAGGAGGTGCAGCCGGTTGATCCGACTGCCCGTTTGGTGCCTCGTTTTCGATTCCCCGCGTCGAGCCGACGAATTAGCCGGACAATTCTTCTTCTTCCTTTCCGATCTGTCAATCCTCGAGACCCTTCTCAACACGATAAGAGGTGGCCTAAACCCGACTCTATCAACGTAGTTTCACCTTGTCATTCGTCGTCGAAGCATATCACTTTCCGACAGCGCATGCAAGCTTCCAATAGACCCTTCGTCGTCCAGCTGTCCCTACTCAGGTCAAGGCTCCTCGCCTGAATTGGCCGCTTTATTCACCGAGCTTCAAGCTTCTTTGCTGACGGCGAACCAGACTGGGTGCGGACACGATCAGGCGACTCATTCGAGCAGGCCTCATCGACTGCATCAACAATGGAACTGGGATTGAGAAGGATGAAAGTGAGGTGATGGACGCCGAGTGGCTCAATCGAGCGAGGAGATTGGAACCAAAGACCAGAAGGGCTAGGAGGTATGCGCCATAACGATGAGCAATAGACGATAGACAGGACCGAGTGACGAGCAGCGGCAACTGCTATCGATGACAAGGCGCATCCATCGCCGGTCTTACTTCTGCTCTGTCGTGGGATTGTACTGGAGGTGTTCAGGATTGAACGCTGCCGCTCGATCGGCCGAAGGATTGCCACCTTGGGCTTGAGCCGATGTCGGATTGTAGGCGGCACTCTGAGGATTATATGCGTCTGCACGACTAGGCTGAGACGGTCCGTGACCGCCACCGCCCTTGCCGCCGCCGCCAGACCCACCGCCGGAGCCATGTCCCTTGGTCATGGTGAAGTCTTCTGTGAAGGGAAAAGAGAGCAGCCTTGTTAGCGATGGTGCCGCTGAAGGTCAAGGCCCCAAGCCAGGAGCTGGTGAGCCTTACCTTTCAACGAGGTGAAGAGACTGGATGAGAAGTCGCTGGAGTGTCGCGAGGGTAGCGATTGTGGAGGCTGAACAGGAGCGAGCTTGTGAGGTCTCGGTGGACGAGAGGATGAGAAAGCCCGCAAGGTGATTTATATATCTTCTTGACCTGTGCAGCAATTGCGTCGATGCTACAAGCTAAGGACGAGCACAGTCGCCTTGCGCGTCAAAGATCCGCAGGTGGATCCGGCTGAGTGAGAGCTTGGCCTGTGCATCGTCGCTGATGAGATGGTCGAGGTCGACACAAGCACAGCGTTGGATCGAGGTTGCCACGGGTTGTCGCCCTCACCTCTTCCAGTGAAGAAGCGACGGACGCCTGTAGCCTGAGTCAGCAACACCTGACCTTTGCCGCTCCGACCGGAAAGTTGCCGTAGCACCTCCATGAAGGCTCGCATTTGAAGGAACCATCAGGAATACAAGGCGTAGTCGGCGAGGCAATCGCAGTATTCGTAAGCAAGCCTAAGCATTACCCTATAGCAGTACTCCTCGCTCCACTTCCCGTTCTGGCCGGCTTCCTCAAGGGCTGTCATGCGCCACTGGACGTTGGCAAGCGCCTGTTGTTCTTCCTCGGTCAATGGTCCTTCCCTGCGAAGCGAGCACTTCCCGCCCAGCAACGTGCAGCAGTCGCATCTCGCATCGGGAACCTCACGATCGAGACCCTGGATGGTCTTGCCGTTTCCAATGGTGCAGATCTTGTTGCTGGCAAGGCATCGGTCGCAGGGATGAGGAGGGAGCACGAAGCCGGGCTCCAGATCTTGTCCCTCCGCGGGAAAGTGGTCCTCGCTCGAACGATCGTTGTTGGCTGCAGCTGGGATGAGGAACATGCGAGAGACGTAGGCACTACCGCCAATGCGGAAGCTTGGCGCGTCAAAATCGGTTTCGTCGGTGGCCGCGACAGTGGCGCTGTCAGAGCCGGCGGTAGAGGTCGACACTGCATCTTGGAACTCGCAACGTGGACGCTCCTTGGCGCCTTTCTGCGCAATGGCGGTTGCAGCTTCATCAGAGGCCGGCTTTGCGTCCTGAATGAAGACCGAGGTAGAAGCAACTGGAGATTCGTTACTGTCTATTTGAGTGGTTCGCTTGAGCTCAGCAGCTTCGCTGAAGCCGCTGTGCCATGTCTTGCTTGCTTCGCGAGTCATGCTGTTCCTTCTGCGATGCCGAGGATGAATGCTGACTCGTGTCAGACAGACCCTTACCAGAGTGAAGAGATGATTGATCTGATGAGATGAATAGCGCGATGCAAGATGAAAGATTGGAGCGAAGGCTCGGAAAGGCTTGGCTGAGTCGGCCTCGCGCCGGGTCTAAGATTGGTGTGGGACCCACCACGATTATTGGTGTCCCACACTAGCTCCTCAAAGCCTTGTCACGCGGATGCCACTCGGTGAAGCTCGCGCTCCTCAATCTCTTCGTGTCGCTGTCTCACACCGCTTCGCAAAGTCGCTTGCGTAATCTGTGTCGAAGATCTTCACGATCACATGCTGTCTGAGGTTGTGAGAGGGATTGAACATATGAATTGCGGAGAGGGTGAGGGGAGATGAGGAATGTGACTCAAACAGAAAGTCTATGCCGATGAACGACACGACAGAAACTAGAAACGAAAAGGAGGGGGGAATACGACATGGACGGACAGGAGCATTGGACATCTTTCTAGCGCCAACAAGGGCGTCTGACTGTTACCGGGTAAAGCGAGGTTGCTTTCTCCACGATACAGCAGCTCAGCAGTACTCCTGCTCCGGGACCCCGTCGGCAGCCTTGTCGGTACGAGCAGCCTATCATGAGCGCCAGAGGGAGACGTGACGGGCACGAGAGGTGCTTGAAACTCTTCATGATACGAGAGGTGCATCAATTCATCTGCACTAGCCAAACCTTTTGGGATGGTAGCCCAGCATTGATGGCAGCCAGAAATCGTGTGGCAAATGTCGTTCTCGAATTGGCATCCCTACTGACCGCAGCTTTTGGGTTCGAATGACCTGTGCTCTCTGAAATACTCGACCTGAGCCAGGACCGACTTTTCGAGCTCCAGGGCCGACCTTTCGAGCTCCGGCATAATGAGAGCTTGGCGTCTCTGCATCTCTTCCAAGATCCGGGGTGGTAGCTCGAGGTCGATGGGGAGGACTTCGCCACTAGTCATCTTGCCTTCGAACGTGCCATCCTCTCTGTATCGCATGGCCCTCAAAGAGTGTTTGTCGCCGTAGTCTTGAACGTATTGATACCAATGGGAGAGTTCTTCGTCGGTAACTTCCGAGTCATTGCAGCCTTGAGGCTCGATCGACTCGCGCTCTCTGGGCTCGGGCGACTTGTTTGAGCGCTTCTCTAGGAAGCGAGCTTGGCGTCTCTGCATCTCGGCCAGGATCCGGGGTGGTAGCTGAAAGTCGACGGGGACGATTTCGCCGGGAGTCTTCCTGCCTTCGAATGTGCCATCCTCCTTGATCCCCATGCCCGTCAAAGAGTGTTGTTCGGCGTAGTCTCTGACGTATTGGTACCAATCGGAGAGCTCTTCGGCGGTTACTTTCTCACATGAGTTAGTACCGCCAATAATGAAAGCCAGCAGGAGGGCCGCGAAGATGACTTTCATCTTGGATAGGTCAGCCGGCGTGGTACGTCGAAGTGGTGAGAGATGGCGGCTGACGTTGACGGTTCCTGGCCTTTAATATTTGGTCGAGTGCGGCTCTTGTCACGACAGCGTGAGCGAGCATCTGACTTCAAAAGAGGGGAACGAAGCTGTCTGGATGGTGGAAGTGAGGAACATACCGGAGGGTTAAAGGGAAACTCCAGCATACTCGGGCCTAGCCGGCGTTTAGGTTGGCGCCCACCTCGAGGCTCTGGTCCCACCGTTTCCCCCATTCTTTGACTTGTGGATTCGAGATGAAACGATCTGGATCTGCGCATCGTTTCTCTGCGCCGAATTGATCCTGGTTGTCCGACTCATCATCCCAACTATCATTTGTTCTCGTACTCTTCGCTAGCGATGCACCTTCAAGATTTAAGAGCTATTCGAAACGATGCGCACAACATTTTTATTGGCTCACACATCGCAATAGGATGTAGCGGGATGAAGTCTAGTCAGATGCAATAGCCAACTGTATCTGGAATGTTGTTCCAGCACGTTCTGCAGCCAGGAAATGTCTGGCAAGTGTCGTGCTCGAATGAGCATACCGAGTTATCGCAGCCTTCTGGTTCGATCGACTTTTGCTTTCTGGGCTCGGTTGACTTGCTTGAGAGCTGCTCTGCGATGCGAGCATCGCGTATCTTCATCTCGGCCAGGATCCGGGGTTCAATCTGAATGTTGACGGGGAGGATTTGACCAGTAGACTTCCTGCCTTCGAATGTGCCATCCTCATTGCGTCGAATGGCGACAAAAGAGTGTTTCTTGGCGTGGTCTCTGATGGTTTGATAGCCATCGGATACTTCCTCGGCGGTTACTTTCTCAGACTCATTGGCGCTGCCAATGACGAAAGCCAGCAGGAGGGCCGCGAAGAGAGCTTTCATCTTGAAGGGGTCCACGGTTTGATGAGGTACGGCTTGGGCGCGGTGGATCGAGAGAAGAAGACAGAGGTGGCTGAACAGAACGGTGAGGCAAGACAGGCAGTCGGATGAAGACTTGCAATATAAAGTGTTCGAGGAAGACGAGATGGACAGACGCTATATATAGACATGGTACGTGTACGTGCGTCTACCTGTGGCAGAAGCCCCTCTGCTGTCAGACGCAGTCAAATGAGACTGCTTTGCTGATGCCCTGGCTCTCTGGCACTGACACCTGAGGCGGACGAGACATTTCGAACCTGGGACTACGGCGTGGTCTCGAACCTTACCCTGCTGGAGCATCGCATCTGGACATGCGTAGGATGGAGCTTGCGCGAATCTAGCGTGAGGGCCGGGTTCCGCTTATGTATAACGCTCAGCCTGATTGGCTTCTGAATAGGATTCGAAGCGTCACATTCCGATCGAATCTCTGAACCGGACTGTGAGGCGCAACATGCAACCTTGCAAAATGAGGCCAAGCCCGACGATTCGAGCGCCGTCCGACCTTACATTGCTGCGCTGGCGCTCAAACTTTCACTCCGACGTCGGTGAGCTCCAGAGTCAGAGGTCATGGGACTTTCCTTCATGACGCATCTGCTGCTCGTCTGGTGATCTTTGAGATAGCACAGACATGCTCGCTCGTCCTCGTCAACTTTGATGGTCCACACTCGCGCACATCGTTCTGAGCGATGGGAGTATAAAAGATGACATTGTGAAAAGGTGATAAGGAGATCGAGTGGTGCGACTGGAACAAACGTCTATGACGATGAACGGCAAGACAGAAGCTGAAGAAAAAGGGGGATGAAGTTGGACATACAGACGGAAGCAATGGACATCTACGAGCGCCTAGCGTTGTGACGACTCGGGGACGTCCATGAAAGAGGTGCCAGAAACGGAAGCCTTGATTCCACCCAAGGCATGATCGAGCGGCAAACGACGAATCACGACTGGTGTTGAAGAGGGCCAGAGTGAGGAGGCTTACTCCTTGCACGAAGTGGCAGCGCCGCAGCACTCCTTCTGCTCCGGGACCACGTCGGCAGCCTTATCGGCAGAAGCAGTCTCGGGCTGAGCAGCAGCAGTGGTAGGCTCGACGACCTTGGGGGTCTCGGCGGCAGGAGCATTCTGCGCCTTGCAGGCGTCAGCGGGAGCAGCCTCGATTATCTTGCTTGCATCGGTGGGAGCGGCTTCAATGGCCTTGGAGACATCGGTAGGAGTGGTCTCATTGGCTTTGCAAGCGTCGTTAGGAGTATTGTCGGCAGGCTTGCAGGCATCAGCAGAGTTAGCGTCGGCAAGCTTGGTGGTGCCGGCAGGGGTGGTCTCGGCGACCTTGATGTCCTGCTTAGTGGCGGAAGTGTCTTCGACAGACGGCTTGGCAGCTTCAGCTTCAGCGGAAGCGGACTGAGTGACCTGGGTAGAAGGGCTAGGAGCGCTTGCGTGTTCGGTCTCGGCGTCGCCCGTGGCCTCAGTGTCGGCTTTCTTGAAAGAAGGAGACATGGTGGTCCAGCTGGAATGACGACCAAGAGCAGTGATGTCAGTGGAAGTGTTCTTGCTCGTAAATCTGCAGATAATGAATAGCTGCCTTACCTTGATCGGAAGCGGTGAGTTGGCGGATGTACAGGTGGTCGTTGGATGCTTGTAGTAATTGATGTCGACGGTGGCTAAGTACGCCGATATGGGAAGAAGGAGAATGGAAGGGAAGGGGTAGGCGTTGACGGCGGGATTATATATCCTGCCTTATCTGGTCTGATGTGCTTCAGCACTGCTGCAGAGGAGGACGAGGAACGCTGACGACACCGCATGGCCCTTCTCCGGCTGAGCTGTGAGCACACTCTGACTCGAGCTGCACGCAGAGTGGACCCTTTCGATGCCCCTCCGTCCAGCCACGCATGGCGACAGTATCTCTTTGCTGTTTTGCCGCGCAGCTGCGCAGAAAGCTACTGATAAGAAGACAGTCAAGCGTACAAAGCCTTGGCGTTGCGAGCTTCTGACTTTGCAGTCGCCGCTGTGCCAGGACAGTCTCATTTCGGGAGGCGCAGCATGGAGCTTGAGCTGTCCCGCCGTGGGAAATCACGTTCCGTTCACAAACGGATCGCACTCTGATTGGCTGCTGATACACGAGAGGTCTGACAAGACAAGCGCGGACCGTCATCAAGACGGACAAGAAGCTTGCAAGCTCGCGAAATGAAGCCAAGCGTATCGATTCGAGCCTCGTCTGCGCTCGCGATGCTGCGGCAGCGCTCTAGACTTCGTATTCGCATCAATGAACTTCAGAGCAGACACAGTGTGACGTACTTTGCCTCGTGTCGAGAACAAAGACAAGTCAGGTTCATCACCATCGTGGGAAGGATCCTTGACGACGATGAGCAAAGAGACTGTCCATGATGACGGTGTGCAATTTTTTCGCAAGAGTGTTAGAGCAGATTGCTGGATCACTTTCCGAAGTTTTTCGAGTTTTTTCGTGCGCTGCGCAGCGCACCAGAAAAGAAGATTTGGCGCCCGTCTGTGCACGCAAAATCAGAAGATTCAAGTCTCTTCCTCCTCCTCCTCCTTCCTAACTATCACATCTCATCCACGTTCGCTCAATTCTCTTCACATCACGTCACAGAGTAAGTTTCTCTCCCACCTTGCAGCATATTACACCTGCAGGAGCGGCTCCAAAGCCCTCCCCATGTTTACAGGATGAAAAACACTTTCACAGACCTGATCCGATATATCTCTGGGCCGAATCAGCCCAGAGGGTCAGAGGACAATCACTTTATTGCCTATTTTTGGCTGATCACATGGAAGACGCAGCTGCAGCTTATCAATCCTGGATGCTGTTCCGAGTGCTGATCATATCGACTTCGCTTCTCCCTGCGCTTGCAGATTTAGCTGGTCATCCCTCCCAGATGCACGGTTTATCCATTTCTGCAGCTTCGTGTCCGCCACGCACCGCTTCCAGGTCGTGGTAGACTGTCATCGTCAAGATGCACCATTTTGAAGATCTCCACAATCGTAATCACGAACAGTCTCTCGGACTCGGGCATGACCATGCGACCTCTGCCGGAACAGCTCTTGACGTCGCTGGGATCGACAGCTGTCTTGTCTTTTGGCCTGACAAGCTGGTCGATTTGTCACGTGTCGAACCTGGCCATGTCCGCTCCGAGCAGGCGGACGCAGAGTCAGCCAGGCTTCTGGTCGGCAAAGTCCTTTGCGGCCACCCTTACGAGGCAGCCGTTGTTGTCCTCGGCACGCTCTCGGCCAACGCGTTTGTCCAAGCTTCGAATAAGCTCGAGTCGAACGGACTCTCGACCGTCGGCTTTGTGCGGGCGAATGGCGATGTTGGTGGGACCCGCCATCCTGTCTTGCCCGATAGCAGCAGCATCTGGATAACGGTCTCGCGGATGTCATCGGCCGACCACCTCCCGAATGTTGTCTCTGTCCACTTCACTGGCTCTGACAACGCCGAAGGCCAAGCGGGCGTCGACGCAAGACGCCAGACCATCGCTTCGTGCGCGGTCAATGTGATTGTCTACACCGTGCCCAACTCACGGATGCTACAGTACTTTGCGCTCGAATCGCTTCGCCTTGCGCCTGTCTCGGGTATGAAGCTCGTCTCTGCTGCGAGCGCGCTACTCCTGCCTGACACAGACTTGCCCGCGTACACTCGAATGATGGCCGCGGCTTCTGCCCCGTCGGTACTGCAGAATAAGTTCTTGCAGTTGCTCTCGCTGGACCCAGTCCACTGGCGCTCGTTTCGTAGCGTGCGCACGCAGGACGGCCAATTGCCTCGAGGCACGTCGTTGCGGAATGCCATCGACCTGATCAACCGACTGCAAACCATTCGCAGCCGACTCAGCGCATCCATTGGTCCATCCAAGAGCAATGAGATCGGCAAAGGCGCGGTCGTCGATCAGCGTCGATTTGCCATACGCAACGATCGCCCCGGCTTCATCCCAAGCGCCGGCAACGCTGTGACTTCGACCGCGCTTGCTGTGCAAAGGCTACTCCGACGACCGCTCTTCACTGCGAAGGAGCCAGCCGTCATGATCGAAGGCGTGGATCGAAGACCACGCAAGTCGACGGCTCCTCCGGTAAGGCTCGTCACGATCTCGGCGAGTGCGCGGCAACTCGATGTGCGCATCTCGCAGCTCGTCGTTGCGCCGCGCTTGGCGTCGCGCTTACGCTATCTCCGGAAGAAACAGAAGCTCCCGATCAACGAGATCGCTGCGCCCTACATCGGACTCTGGAATGCGGTCTGGCTCATCGCCAACGACATCATCCTCGGGCATGCAGTCAGCGTACTACTGTTGCAGAACAAGTCGCTGCTCGCGACGATAGGACGTGCACTGGCGGATCGCTACCTGCTCGACTACGTCTTGTGGCTTCTCTCTTGGCTCGAGAATTGGCCAGCGGGACTGAAGCTCAACACAGAGCTGTCGCTCTTCTTCAGCGATGCCTACTCTTCGCTCACCAGCACGTGGCATTCGCAAGGCCTTCTCCACATCCTTCCGCGTCTGGACACCGTGATCGTGGTCATTGCCCTGACAGGTCGCTTCATGGGAGTGACGATGGTGCTGTGCATGATGCAAGATTTAATCTCGATCTGCACGCTGCACATCACCGTATTCTACACCTTGTCGTTCAGGACGCTGCGCGCTTTCATATACGTGCTCTCTTCGCTATTCAACATTTTTCGAGGCAAGAAGCGGAATGCACTGCGAGGCGGTCGTCTGGACGATGCGAGCTACGAGCTGGATCAGCTCCTGCTTGGAACGCTGCTCTTCACGCTCGTTGCGTTCCTTTCCCCGACCGTCTATGTGTACTACCTCGCATTCGGACTGATCCGCTTTGTCGTGGTTGCTTTCGAGTCAGGGATCGTAGAGACTTGCTTGGGATTGCTCAATCACCTGCCGCTCTTTGCTCTCATGCTTCGCATCAAGGATCCTCATCGTCTCCCGGCCGGCGTTTGGCTGCAGGAGCTCGACCCTGCAAGCACGGTGAAAAGCGGACGGGAAGCCGGCGCAGACGGATTGCAAACGGGTTGCTTCCGCTTGCGTTCTCGACCTTTGGCGATCGGCGACATCTTTGAAGGCTACGGCCAGCACGTTGGCGGGCTCTTTGAAGTTCCCAGTATGCTGCTGCGATGCCTGCTCGGTCGCTCGCTTAGGCCTTCGTAGACGCTCCTCAATAGAACCATACATCTTGGACAGCTCCGGACTGCACTTGGCTGACGATTGCTCGAAACTGTGTAGAAGAGCGAGACTTGAGCTGTGAGCAGTCGAAGCATGTCTTGTGCCCATGTGGACCCTTGAATCGCGCATGACGCGGAGCTGATGGCTTCGGCTCTCTCACGCAATCGCAAAAATCAATTTTAGCAGACGTCTGAGCCCCAAGACTGCCCAGCTGCAGACTCGACTTTGGCCTGCATAAGAGTCACAGTCACACGCTCAAGCATCAAGGGGGAAATGCGAGAGGAAGCGGGTGTGGAGTCGACGCTAATCGGTCTGCTCGTCATCCAACGACCCAACTGATCGACCCAATCCTACATCTTCTCATCGATCATCCATCGACCATCATCGATCTCGACTTCTGCGGCGATCAAATCGCTCTCAACCAGCGTACAGCCACCTATCCGAGTCCGATCGGTTTCGAGACGCGGCACTGCACGCAGGCATCAACTCGATCTGGCCTCGTAACTCATCAGCCTGACTCGAATCACCTGGGTCGATCGGACGAGTCTGGGCAGCAGCTCTCATCCTTTCGAACGAGTGCAGCGTGCTTACTCATTGCGAGCTCCCTGCTGCGTCTCACGTTTTTGCGACGAGCCAGCAGCTAGCCTGCTCCCGTGGCCTGATCGTGCAAGGAATGGTCTAAGCCCCGCCACCAGGTCCCGCTTTCTGACACGATCACCAAGCACCAAGCGACCCCACCATGACGCCTGGACCATCTTTCACCGTGCCAAGCGCATCCACATCAGCTCCGGCCGAATCCGAGATCACCACATCATCAGCAACTGGCGCCAATCCAGAGCAACATTTGCGAGCGGACCCAGTCAACGAACCGGTGATCGCCGACAATTTGCGCACTAGCAACGCGCAGTTGAGCCATAGCGATGGCATCAGGCGCCATGATCCTGGCACAGCGCAACCCAAGCACTGCGCGCACTGTGGTCAGCTGTTGGATGCTCTTCCGACGTCGATAGATCGCCAGCCAGGGCTCTCCCGCGCTCCATCCTCGGCCTCCATTTCGGCTCCGAGTCCGTCGTCATACGCTTTTGCGCCCGACTACGTCCGCTCCCAGCATCGCCTCCAACCGCATCAGAGCCTCACTTCGGCCATCAACGCAGCTGCCGCAGTCGCGCTCTCTCGACATCTCGGCACCGACGAACCGATGCAAACAGATGCTGACGGCCATGCGATCTGCACGCAGTGTGCAGCTCAACTCGCCGATCCTGCCGCACCATCCGCTTCAGCTTCAGCCGCTGCGACATTGCAGAACAGCGCACCTATCGACGGCAGCGCGCAGCTACACACTGGCTCCAGCTCATCCGCACAGAACAGCACGCCGATCGGTGCCCCGCAAACGCATCTCACCATCTCAGTCGACAACATGGGAGCCGGAGGCGATGCTGCGCTCACCCAATCGGCCGAAGACGTGCTCATGCAGGATCCGTCCAGCTTCCCACCGCTCGAGCGCGCTCCCATATCACCAGCTCTGAGGGCACCCTCTTCGCCGTCGGGTGCTGGCCGCTCCACGAGTCGCGGCAGGATCCGTTTCGCAGATGCGTCGACTTCGACGAGCGACCGTCTCGGTCACTCAAACGAGCCTAGTCGAACGGGAGAGCCCTCCTCCTCGTCCCTGCTTGGCCGCTCTGGCAGCTTCTCCAGGAGTCTCAGCTACAACGGCTCAGAGAGTGTAAGCTCATCTTCTGCCCCTGTTGTGGTCAGCTTCCCACCGTCCATCGTGGCCACGCCCGCATCCGAGACATTCGCATTGCTCAACGCGCAGGAAACTCACTCTGTTGCATCCTCTGCGTCTGTATCCGCTCGGCCATCGAATTCACAGTCGAGATCCCGCAGCAGCGGAAACGTGCACGCACAAGAGGCCTCATCGCAGATGCCCGCAATATCGGGTGCAGTCAAAGAGCGGCGACCCTCATCCGCGCGCCGATCGAGCCGCTCTGGATCCACTGTAGGACCTACAACGATGCCTTTCGCAGCAGTTGGCGCCGCAGCCATGACATCCGCAGCAGCCGTGGCGAAGGATGACGATCCTTACGGACCGGCAGCAGTGACCCGTCCTCGGCTGAGCCAGCTTCCAAGACACGTCATCGCAGACGAGCTCTACAATTCGGCGAAGCAAACACGGCCACCGCACCTGATCTGCTCATCGACATCGACATCATTGGCCGCATCCTCGGCTGAGCATGCCCAGGGGATCGATCCCACTCGAGCTGTCAAGTACCATGTCGATCTGCTCTCTTACTCGTCGACAGATCCCGCTCTCAAACACGCAGCAGACGGCAAGAAGCGTCACGACGAGCCGGCAAACATGGACGTGGACGACGACAAGATCACGCACGGTCTCGCCGCCAAATGGGCGCACGTCCGCTGGTTCGACCCGTACAAGCCCGACCCACTGGCCGAGCTATCCCGCCTTCGCAATCCGCCCAAAGGCCGAGGCTGCCTCTACCCCGGCGCCACCTTCAACGGCACCCAAAAATCTGGCCGAAACTCATACGACGTCACGGTCCGCATTGTCAACGTCGACCTCGAAGCCTCGCATCTCTGCGGCTACCTCAACATCCGCGGTCTCACGGAAGACTGGCCTGAGCTGACGACCTATTTCGACGCAGAAATCATTGGCGATCGGTACGGTTTCGTCACGGGCAAATGGGGCGCTACGGAAGCGGACGATCTCAAGCACTGGGCGCGTTTCCCTCCTTTCCGACCCTTACGCTCGGCACTCTCCAAACCTGGTCTGCGGTTCAACCACTTGAACAAGCCATTCGTGTTCATGCGGTGGAAGGAGAAGTTTCTCGTTCCGGATCACAGGGTTCGGGACATCAACGGGGCGAGTTTTGCCGGGTTCTACTACGTTTGCGTCGAACTGGGCGAGTCAGCTGGCATCCATCGGAGCGACGATTCCTCACCGGATACATCTCCAACGCTATCCAGTCCAACGCTGGCACCGGCGGTATCCGGACCGCAGTGGTATGCAGCGCGCACGCAGCGTCGACGCGAACTCTCCCTCTCGTCACCCTCCGGATCGACACCATACCATCCGATCTACCACCCGCACTCGCCGTTACCCCCCAGCGGACCAGGCTTCTGGCCTGCAAGCCCCACCATCCCGCTCAGCTCCGCCGGCACCGAGGATCCCTTCGCGTCCATGTGGCCGGCGGATGCCGAGATGACCGACGACCTCGGCGCTGCAGGCAAGATGTCTGGGTTTTACTTTCATGAGAACAGCGAACCGTATCAGCAGTTGAGTCTGAGACATACTGCCGAATGGTCCAGTAGCAGCTTCGAGATGCGCTAACGGCCCAGCAATGCAGACCCTTTCCCCCCCTTGCGCGCGCGTTCGACTTATGTGTGATATTGATACAAAGGAATCATTCGGCGGCCTTCCACAGCTGGTCGGCGAGGATGAGGGGCGAGATCTCGTTCTGCTTGAGGTGGAGGGTGGCGATGTCGAACTGGATGGCGGTGTTTCGTGTGTCGGAGCGGACGAGTATGCTGTTCCACTCGTCGTCCGTCTCTTCCTTGCCTTTGGAGGGTAGGAAGCCGAGGCTGCGGAAGATGCGTAGGCACAAGCTGTTTTCATTACAAAGGGAGGGTCAGCACATCTCGAATGCTTTCAGCGGGAGAAACGGGGGCAAAGTTGAGAGGGGTGCCGGGGGGGAAACTTACGCATCGCGATCCATCTCCGTCTCATCCTCAACATCCACCTCGTCGAGTTCGTCGCATACCCGCTTGAGTTCGAGCACCTCGTTCTGCATGGTGCTCAGTACGCTTTCCTGTTCGTTGATCTTCTTGGCCAGATCAAAGTTGCGGTTGTCCAACTTTTCGATGGTCTCTGCGTGCTGTGCGAGGGACCTCCATTCTGCCGCTTGACGAGTGCTTTGCTTGCGCAGGTCGAGAAGGGAAGTTTGGAGAGCATGGATCTTGGCGCGGTTTTCCTCGTCTTCGCGTTTGCGTCGCGATTGCGTTTCGCGAAGGGTTTTCTCGATCGAGCGCAGGTGGTCGAGTTCCGAGGTGGGGGAGAGAGAGGCGATGAGGGAATCGATGTCGTCGTCTGTGAGACGGGCATCGTCGAGCGGTGAGGTGGTGGGGAGGGTGGAGGGTGGCGGCATGAGGATGGATGGGTCGTCCCGCGGTGCTGTTGTGGTCGACATGTTGTGTGTGATGAGGAGGAGCGTCTACGTTCGAGGGAAGATAGGATCCAGGAGGGTGCGTGGCTTCAAATCCAGAGATAGTGATGTCTATAGCTTTTGTTGTGGTGTTGACAGCGATAGTGACGAGAAAGCTTCAAGATGATGGTAGCAATGAAGCTCAAACCGCCTGCTCGCCATCCACGACCCTGGCCGCTGTTGCATGCAAGTGTTGATTGTCACTCTAAGAAAAGTTCAAGTGTTGGTTGAGACGCGCCGCGGATTTTTGGCCCAATTTTGTTTGGTACAGTCCCCTAACACTCTGAAATTTTCGCGTTGGAGCGAATGCACGTGACCCCTCCGCTCGCGGCAAACAATAGAGCGAGATCGCCGCTGCGGGCGG